TCCTCGAGAGCCTGACGAAGCTGATCTTCGGTATATTGAGGCATTATATATAGAAGAAGACATGTGCAAAAGATGAGCCCATTTGGACGCGAATTGAAAATGTTGTGATAAAAGGAGGTTGGGGGTGGGCATTGGGTTGTGGTGGATTTTCGCGTTTTTGTGGGTGCCAGAAACAGGGGGGTGCCAGGAAGTGGGTATGTTGACTTAAATGAGCCCGTCGCCTGGGATCGCAAGGTGCAATCGATGCGGTCCGTCTTCTACAAGGACGCTTACACGGTACGTCATGCTACGCTTCGCCTACAGTGGTGTTAATGTTGCAGGGGCTGATAATACTGGGACAGGGAATTCGTCAGGTCGAGAAAGACCTCAATGTGGCTCGCAACAATTACGTCCACATACAGATGATGAACACAAACTGGGGCTCCGGGAATCCGGTCGAGTTCTTGAGCGACACCTATTTCACCGCATTCGATGATCACCGTTATTTGAAGTGGTCGACGAGCGTTTCTGTCTCGCATCAGAGCTATATCTCAACTTCTTGCAAAGATAACCGCAACTCAGATGCCGCTGGGCCTACCATAGTTGGCGAGTGGAGTATCGCAGTGCCAGACAACGTTGAATCGACGGATGGGTGGAGCCCAAGCAAGCAGAAAGCCTTCTACAAGAAGTGGTTTGCTGCTCAGGTTTACTCTTACGAGGAATGGACTGCAGGCTGGGTTTTCTGGACGTGGAAGACCGCGCTTGGCGATGACTACCGGTGGTCCTACAAAGGTAAGTCACATACGTCTCAAAATGTTCTCGAGCTTTATGATTCCCACATTTGACTAACTCTCTTAGCCGCCGTTGCTGCCGGTGTCATTCCGAAGGACTTGAACACTATTGCCACTTCTGGTGTTTGTGGATAAAAGACGGTTCCGTATGAGAGATTGCTTGGAAACTCGAGCAGCGCATGTGCGTTTTGCCACATGCAGGATTCTACATCATCTAACATCGCTTTGCTTTGGATTGCATTGGGAAACTCTTCCCGTTATTCTTCAATTCTTTATATTTAACGGCTTTTGACAGTTTGGGAGGTGGATGCACTGGTGCTTTTTCTTGGAGACTGCCTCTTAATAACATTACTTTGAAACTGTGCACCAATCCTTCATCATCCCATGTATGCCTGCTGTCCAGAGCTGCAATTAATTGCCTGAGCAAGCTATTATACTTATGTTTCACTGAGAAGCAATCATGATTTCCATGCACAACAGATGAGTACTTTAGGAAAGGCACACAACCGCCTGTCTATCGTCCATCCCTTCTTATGCCCCGATTGGTGCTGCTGCAAGATTCGACCTAACAAGGTTCTTTCGAGGGGACATATGCCAAAATAGCAGCATCATGTCGTTCAGTAACGTTGGCTAAGGAATCACAGATGCTCAAGTGAAGGCTGTAAATATCACTTCTTTTGGCGGCCAAGACTGACTGGGGAATATTTGCGGGAGAACGTTTTCCGCAATTGGGCACGACTGGGATTCATAAAGTACTAATATAAATCATGTCCTTGAAGCGGATCATGGCAAAAGCACGCAAGTGATTGCAGTCAGACAAATTCCAGTAGTGAGTAAAGACTTATGTTTACGTGCTGCTACCCGAACAAAAAATGTGAGATAAATCAATTCTTTTGAGAGAGTGGGATGCTAAGGAGGCCGCAAAGACCATTCAATAATGCTAATGTACACGAAAAATAACCCCTTTCCATCACCTTATACGGAGTCTCCTCTGCGTCTTGTAGTGATGCATTTACATGCAGCACATCTCTATGGCTATCTGGAGGATTGCATCAGCGTTCAACTCGAGGCTCAAGCTCGGATTCTTTTGAGGAGGCGATTGCCGAGTGCCGAGATGCTGTCTTCAAATTCATCGTAAGTGTTGGCGGCCCAGGTAGCACCATGAGCGCCAGGAACGGCGTCCTTGCCCGGGAACGCAATGTAGAGTACATCAGACTGGTCATGTCCAGCATTGCCATTCATACCAGTTCCAAAACAAGCCGTAGCAAGAGAAAGCGAGGCTTCACCGACCATGGCTTGGCTGCCATCATCACCGTTGGTGTCGGCCCAGATACCATAAATCTACAGGTTTCGAGGTTTAGAAGTTGCGCCAGTGAAATATAAATCAACAACGAAAGGTACAGAGGATGGACTCACAACTTTGTTGTTGCAAACAACTGCCATGACGCTGAGGGGCTCAATGCCATGCTTCTTTGGGTCGAAGGTAGGCCATCCGGGCTTAGATCCGTCGTTGCCGAAAACAACGTAAGGGTGAACATACGCGTTCAGATCATTGATTCCGGCCTTGTAACCTTGGATTTCGGACTTGAAAGACGTCTGCGGCTGCGTGTCGGTGGAGGAACCGCATCGGCCGTCTCCATGAGTCTCCGCACCATCGCAATCAATGTCCATGTTCGCGAGGCGACCTCCCGAACCCTGGATGTAGATGACATTGTAATTGCTCAAGTAGTCGCCACAATAGCCATAATCTGTGATGCGGATAGTTTGTCCGTGTTAGGGTCACTGAGCAATCTATTCTCTTGGGACATTTCTCGGTCGTCTCACCTCCTTTGCCGCCCTCCTTGCTATGGAAGCCGGTCTTGAGGACGGTGGAGCATTGCTGCCGGCCACGAACTTGGTCGTAAAAGGCCTTAACGTTAGCTGGAACGTCTCTTGCCGTCGCAGGTACAGCTAGCAGCGTGGCGAAGGCACACGCGTAGGCGAAATTGTGGAACATGATGGTAATAGAAGGTTGGCGAGACTTTAGCGAATAGAAAGCTTTGAAGATGGTGAACAGATCGTTTGATCGAACAGCGACCATGTTTCGTTTCTTATAAGAATGTTTCCTGCAATGGGCTTCGGCCGAGAAACACTCTGATCCAAGTTCCCGAGCCCCTGAGTCGTGTAAACCACGCCATGGTGAGCCTAGCTTGGAATATGTTTTATTAAAAGACCTCGTGTTTGTAGTTAACCCAGGGTAATGTTCACTTGGAACAACAGGCTGCAGATCGCAATCCTTCACGTTGATAGAATGATGAGAATAGAAGACTTCCGGCATTCCCAAACGCCATTGTCTATTCCCACGCTGAATTAGTTGACCACTGATCAAAGCTATGCGCCGTCTAAGGCTTGAATCAATATTTTGACCATGAAATCGACGAGACGAAGAGCGCCCGAGTCTTACATTGAAACGTGTGATCTCAAATAATTATGTGGGAACCAAGTGATGCAGGAAACATTTCTTGTTCGTTGTAATCAGTCCTTTGCAAAGGACCCACTGAGTCCTCTTTCGATCCGGAATGATGAATTTTCAAGTGGTTAAGTGTTAAACGTTCAATTTGGACGGAAGAGGAAATCTTGTTTATATTCCCGGCCGGGATGTCTAGGCAGCCAGATTGAGACTTGCTCGAGCTTTGTTCCACAACCAAGGATCGCTCTTGGGCGGGCCGATTGTGCTTGCTTAGTCTGTTTCACTAGTCTGAAAAGACAGGTTGAAAACGATTGAACGGATGTAAGACAGCCAGGACTGCATCAATTGTCAACTATCCCACACAGTCTGAAAGACCTCAATTTCCGTAGTAGCGGAAGTGGTAGCTTCGGGAAGTATGACACCCGATCTTTCTATGCATTCAACAGTTTTCATTTCACGAATCGCAACAAACGCGTATCGACTAGCTGATGCATGCAGGCACAATGGCGTAGCTAACAATTACTATAGTCGTTGTAGGAGTGGGTACTATCAAAAGATTTGATGGCTTGAGATGGCAGTTGAGCTACTGACTAGCAAAGACTTGGAGCCAACCTTGAATGACAGAGTCAGTAACCCCAGTCTCATGGACAAAAGCGGAAGGTACATGTGGGATACCGAATGGCTAGCAAGCGGTCTTACGGGCATTTGATCCTATGGATTGCGACGCAAAGTGGTTGTGGGACACGAGAAGTAAGCCACGCCGAAATTAAGCCTTGGTTTATCGAGAGTTAGTGGACGATCACCAGTTCTCCATCAACAGTAGCTGAACGTGTAAGAGAGGATCACTCATCGCTCTGGAATCGAAGAGCAGAATTGAAATCTTGGCATGTTTTCAGCCGAGTATCACGGACAGATTACTTATTATCAAGCCTTACGCCCAGTTTACATGATTCTTTCCCATCAGGCTTTCTCCCAAATCAGTCCTATCAGCCACACCACTAGCACCTTTGACTTCGCCATACATATTGAATCAAAAGTCACGGTCGACTGTCCACATACAAATCTTCCAAGATGCTCTCTTCGTTACTCCTGAGTCATCTTCTTGTCCTGGGTGCGTCTCAGGCCGTCGCCGGCGAGGTAGTCTCAGGCTCTCACACGAAAGGCTCTATCTTCATGTTTGGGGACGCAACTGCCTGCCGCAACATTTTCTGGAGGAATGGCGCCTGTGGTCTCAGTACCTACTTTTCCAACTCGGTCGACCGCAGCCTCCCACTAGTCGCGATGCCATCCGGCATATTCGAGCCGTACGGTCAAGCACAGAACAACAGGCTCTGCGGCAAAGTAATCACGATGACGCACAAAGGTGTCACTCGAAAGGCTGTTGTAGCCGACCAAAACACCAGCAGCGAGCAGTCTATCGATATGTGCTTGGACACGTGGCAAGCATTTGGAGGACATGACAATGATGGAACTCTTCGCAAGGGCATTCAGTGGAGCATCGCTATTTGATGAGCACATCTTCAACATTGTCAGTTTGGCGGAAGGAATTGGCACCTCGGGTCTATCGCGAGACGAATAGTCTATCGTCATGATAAGAGACTAGATTATTGCGATTGTATCCAAGACATCCAACTCCGGAATGAAGAGCCTTGATAACGACAGATTCCATCTAAATTCATCCTCAAATCAATCTAGAGGCGCTTCACTATGCTACTCAAGTGGAATCTTCTCACCCACTTGCTCACCTCATTATTGCTGCTTTTACTGAGGTTGAGATTTTAGGAAGGGTGAGCTGGGGGTGAGCAGAACTTGGTGTTGGTGGCTTGTTAGTGCATCCAGATACTATCGTTAACCCGTCTACCGAAATCAGAACTTTGGCGACTGAGAACACATTTTCGTAATTAAGCGCCCAACCCCTGAAAAAATTCGTCATCTTTTGGTATTACTTTCCCTTCCACCTCCCTTCCCGCCAGTACCCTCTTTCGTTTTCCTCCAAATCTTCTTTTCTTCGCTAAACGTGCTGAACTCAATTATCTGCACCCCCTTTCATCCAGTAAGAAGATCGTAGTATACATACCCAGTGTAGAGGAACATCACCATAACACGCAAGATAATATTGCCAGCCTAAGGTATGTAGCTGTGAACGATGGTGATGGAGCAATCAGAGAGATGACCAAACTACTTCAAAGCTACGCGAAAATCGTTTCTAACAAAGCAATCGACATTCTTGTTTAATCTGTAAGACTCAGTGAACGTAAATAAGTGCAATCTAGAACAGAAAGAAATCTTCCGGCTGAAAGCCTTTTACCCTCATAATTGGGTTATCGCAAACGGTCAGTCTAAGCAAGCGGCACGCCACGCACATGGATTCGCCCAGCAACAATCAAATGACTAAATAAGCCTACGAATGCGCTAGATTGAGAGTGTCAGAGAGTATGAAAAGAGCAGAATTTTCATCAGACTTCACCTCTAAGTGACCTAGTTCACTGCTTTCTGTTCTGCCCGTGGCAAGCAGAATGCCGGCGAGCTCCCTCTTGAGTTTTTGATTTGTGACAACGGCCTACTCAGCGTACTGAATTAAGCCATGTGATGGTTCACTGCAACGAACGATGGCGACTTACCTCCTCGAAAGAATCTTTGACGTAAAACCGTACCGTTGTGACTTCCTTTTCTTGGCCCATCCTGTGGATTCTCGCCAAGGCCTGGTCTTCGATGGTTGGATTCCTTTATAAATATGCGTGAGCATCCGCTACTCAAGATTTCCATCTGACTGCCTACCAGCTGGGCTCCATTAAGTATGCCCTCGAGGCAACAGTGAGCGTCAAACTATTCGCAGCGTCCATATTAGCTTAATAAGCACATGCAATACGCGATTGATCGTTTGACCATACCCAACAGCACCGCATGAGAGTGTCAGTAATAGCACGCGGAGTGACGGATCATCACGGAATCTGTCAATGACTTTCTGTCTTTCTCTCTGTGGAACTTTTCCATCGTAGCGGAGGACTGAAATGCCAGCTTGCTTCAGCCCAACCTCGATAATATCAAGTGTCATTGTCCAGGTCGAGAACACAACACTAACGATCCCTCAGCATAAGCAATCCTGTTGACTTCTGATACATACCATTTGACGTCATTTGGTGTTTCTTGCATATCCTCTATGAGGGCCGTCACTTTAGTAGGGACATACCCTGCCCCTGCAATCTGTTCAATTGGCATTGAGATGGGCATGGCCTCCAAGCTTGCGGGACTAGTCGACACGGAAGCCATGGTACAAGACGAGTCGTGCCCACATCCAATCCTTTTCTTATCTCGAGTGGCTGTTTGTACGCAGTTCGAGCAAAAGAACTGGGCGCATCGGGAGAATAGAGCATCTGTACGTCCGGAATTCTCTTGGGGATTGTAATTGGCGTCCATCGTAAAAGCGCAGCGCTGGCATATTATGCTGCCCACCTCATTCATTAGAAGGTTGAATCGACCTTGCGCCGCTTGGTTCAAGTCCTCCGCCGTTGGCGTCTTTGCAGCTATTGCCAAGGAATCATGTCTATGAGGGTAGAATAACCCAAGATTGCATACCAATCTCATTCCGACAATTTGCTGAAGAACGCTGAAAGATGATGTCGTTCCTTGTTTTTGACTACCTTGGAGAAGGACTTCGTCGATTTGAGTGATGGTTTGGCTCCGAATCTGGTTGTCTAGCTCTCTCTCATCAGGCTGCAAGTCAATGTGACATGCCCGGTCGCGTCTCGGTGGCAACTCGACCGTCTTTCTTGGCCGGCGGAGCAACAGGCAGCCAGCTAGGCGCTTGAGTCTCTTGACTGCCTCCTCAGCGTTACCAGCTTTCCACATATGCGATATTTCCGCGTCAAAGATTCGTTTCTCGTTGTAGGGGTAGACACTAAGGAACTTGAGGAGAGTGGCAAGGTCGTTAAGGTGATTCTGAATCGGCGTGCCAGTCACGGCCCAACGAGAGACAGAATCAAGAGCACAGACAGCCTTCGCCATTTTTGAGTCCCTGTTTCGAATGAAATGTGCTGAGTTTGTGAGCAAACGTTACGTTATTGATGAACATCGGCTATATTATACCTTCATCCAGTATCACTCTCCTCCAGCGGGTCGTGAACAGCATGGACGACTCACGAGCAGCCTCAGTACGCCACTCTGTGGATACTGTGTGGTATGTTGTCAACACTATAGTTGTGTTTTCAAGTTCCGAGGTATGTCTCTGGCGATTCTTTCCGTGGTACAGACGCCATGGCAATCTCCGAGACTCGGTGTGTCTGCAAATGCTACTAGATCAGCCCCTGTTCATTGGCACAGGCAGGGAAAATGGCAGTGGCTTTTGCCTGTTTCTGAGAGCCCTCGTACCTCATAAGCTCTTCATCCCACATTCCGAGAACTAATTTCAAGTCAACATCGGTGGTTAATGTAGAAACATGAAAGACAGAATCCGTGAATAACATACGCGCTGGTGGAACGACAATCAGAGTCAAGCCACAAGATTCCTCGCCTAAAACGCCAGGTAAGCTAGAATCTTCACTCTGCGCCATGAAGTATGCATCCGAGGCAACGAGAGTGATCATTGCGAGCGTTTTCCCGAGACCCATCGGATCCGCAATGATGCCGCCGTAAAAGCTGGGAGGTTCGTGATCATGACGAGCACCAGATACTCGGTTAATAAACCTTTAGATCATCAACAGAAATACGCAAATCCAACAGGGCAAATACAAGTACCTTATTCCACGTTCAGTCTCTTCTGCTTCCCAGATGTCAGGTCTTGTTCCATCAAAAACCCAGCCTTGCTCTCGTCGTAACATGAACGTCAAAGCTTGCTTTTGATGCCTGATGTAATTTTAGGTCAGCTGTCGTGATTGTCTCAAAAAAGCGATCAAATGCTCTGAACATACCTTTTAAGTGTTGTCACTATTGCCGGCGGCTGCAAGGCTTCCGGCAAGTCCTCTTGGGAGTCCAGAAGCTCCAATAGTTCTGGTGGCGGTTCCAGGTCTTCCATTTCTACTAAGTTCTGACGCTCCCCCCTGAGATCTAGTGTATACTGATAATCGTTTGGGCCCAATGGGGGCAGTCGTTGAGGGTTGCAGTACCGCACATTTCGGTCGCAACCGATGGGATCCTGAAGATACAACCTTTGCGCATAGTCGAGCTCCTCATTGCACTGATCAATGAACAGCAAAATGTCTTCGGCATGGTTGCCTTGCCCGTAAAGGATGATGTTCAATGAACACTTTGTCGTGAAATTTGACCCACGGAAGCGTTTTCCATTGTTTGCAACTTTGAGCGCATCTTCTGTTATACAACAGAGAACCTGGAGCTCTGTATCCGCATCTGCCAAAAGGGCGTCCGTGAGATAAGTGAACTCAGAGCATACCGTCCCGGTGATGTTTGAGTTATCAGTCCCGCTAAAGGATGAACGGGTTCCAAGTACAACTGCGTAAGTAGCCGGATTCGCCCGAGAATACGGTTGGCATGTTGCCGCAATGCCTACAAACTGTAGTGAGGCATTCATCAACATGTTCTGGTCTCAAATACATGAAAGTATTGAATCAGTAAGCTTACCATGCCAAAGCATGTTACTTCTGACTCAGGATGGGATTTCTCTTCTTCATCGTCAAAGCAATCAGTTTCCTCGGCTTCTTCATCCACTTCAATGTCGCTTGCCTCGCCCGATAACACACCAAACTTCGGCGGAATTTCGTGCGACAGAGGGGCCTGGAATGTCGGATCTTGGGCAAATGAATCCAGAAATGTTTTGGGAAGAAATTGTAGACCTTGCGAATTAATGTCTGAAGAGTTGAGAAATGTGGCTGATCCAAGCAATGTTGGGAAACCTGGCGGCTGGGCTGTGATGGCAGGTGAAACATACGTCGCCCGGAGGCGACAATTCAGCTGTGAGAAGTCATGAATGTTCGGGATTTGACTGGTTGAGGCATAGGTATCTGACACCTCTGGAATGTACCAATTAATAGGCTGTGAAAGCTGCGTAGGAGCTGGAGAACCGTCTTCGGGCCAGTTGCTATTAATTGCCGTGGTTTCAAATGAACTTGCGGTGGTAAGGGCTCCAAATGACGTAAACTGAGCGTTCAAGGGACCTGTTTTCCGTTCCGACTCTGGCACCGAGGACAAGCTGACATTAGGATACTGCGAAAAGGTGGTTTGCGAGCCTGAGTTGAAGCTAGCATGGCTGGAGTCTCTCCAGTTGTTACTCGGCTCTTGGAACTGAGCGGACACTCTATAACCACGAGAAACAGCAGCTCCTGGAGACACTTGAGTCGCAGGTGAATGTGATGTTATGATGTCCTGACTGCGGTTGTGAGAGGTTCCCGGCTGGTTAGCAGAGCCCCAAAAACTGTCAGCTGGGCTGCCGCTGTATCCCGGGGGCTCTAGAAGCCTCGGGCGCTTGTTCGAACGATGATGATTAGAGGCCATGGCTCAGATGAGAAGTGGAATCGAAGCTGCTGTATTGGAGAAGATGGTTGTTGAGTTAGGAGGGTTGGAGGCGTCTGGACGATGGCTTGATATTGCTCAATGTGGAGGAGATCAATCAGCCTGGGGCAGTGCAGCTTGTGTAACCATGACGCGGGTGCATCGAAGCAGGCTACCCTGTGGCTCAGCTTGATGACTTCTGATTACCTTGAGCGACCTCCCCGTTAGAGATTGAAGCATCCAATTGTTCAAGCAGCAACGAATACTTCAGTTTTCCTATGGTATTGTCGTTGTTGTCCAACGGTACTCATTAGTACAGGTAGGTAAAGGCTATTAATATCGTTATTGTTCACAGCACAAGAAACACCAAACCTCAATTGATGATACTTTCAACAGGACTGCGGCATGTACATGAGAGTCATGTGGGTATCGCGATCTTCCCGCAGGTGACGTGTCAGCATTTCATTCCCCAGTGTTTTCTTATCAAATCATATCTGACTGTGTGTCTTATATGCAGTGTGATGTCGCATTAGGTCATTTCGCCCGAGAGCTACTCCTGTTGAAGGCTGTGCTGGATGGAGGCTGCAGCAGTCAGCCCTGGGCACAATTTGAGGAAGAAAGTGGGCTCCCTCTTTCCTTTTTCACCCTTTCCCTCGATCTCACTTTTCTGATTTCAATTTTATAGACTTTTCCACATACTCCTTTCAGCAGCTATAAGGTATGCATGTTACATAGCAGTGAGCTGTCAAAATGCCATTAGCAGCGCGGGTCTCACTCGCTGCCCAGCGTACCATCCGGGATGCCTTCAACGACCTTGAACGGACGATTTCAAGCGAGGATAGTGCTGACTTCGCTACCACTACACTGGATAAGGTCATTAAGGCTGCTCACGATGTTGAAAACCAACTCGCGGCTCGGCAATTGCTGCGGAACATGCGGCGTCTGACTCCGCTGTTTGATGGCCTGCAGCACTACTCAAAGTCTATTGAAGCGGCCTGCGAGGGTACCCCAAACATGGCTTGGATATGGGCTCCGATTAAGCTTATTTTGAAGGTATGGAATACAATGAATCGTACAGAAATTAGCTAGGCTGCTGTCGAATTCTGAGCTGACTGGACGTTAAGGTCTCGTCCGATTACGTTGATGCGTTTGATAGAATCATCGGAGCGTATAGTCGCATTGCAGAGCCTTTGGCTCGATTTAAGATTCTGCATCAGACATTCGATGAAAATGTGGAGGTCCAACAGACGTTCGCCCTATTTTACTCCGACATTCTCAAATTTCATAAAGAAGCCTACAAATTCGTTCGTAGAAGCGGTAAGAGATATCTATGATTTCCCAATGAATGAGAGGCTCGTTTCTAAGCCAATGGATAGGTTGGAAAGTGTTTTTCATGACATCCTGGGGTCACTTCGAGCGCCGGTTCGACGGCATTATCAACGACCTCAAAGCTCATGAGAAGCTCGTTGACAGCACTGCCAACGTAGTAGGTCTTTCACAGATGAAACAGATGAGGGAGAATGTGGAGGCCTTGCGACGCGAGGCGGCAGAACAGGTCGACAGACAAGAAAAGGAACGCACAGCGAAACAATTACTCGACTTAGTCGGCTGGCTCAAGGTCGACAACAACCAACAGGCCAATATTTCCGACATGATCACGGCTGAACTCCAGAAGTATCCCCAAACGCGTGACTGGATTTTGGACCAGAAGAGGATCTCAACATGGATGAAGTGTAGTATGGAATCGACATTTCTAGTTCTACATGGTCACCCAGGAACTGGAAAAAGTGCCCTGGCGACCCGAATAACGGCTTTTCTAAGGTCTTCGGGTAATTCCATGGTCGTTTCTTACATATGCACATATTCGCAAGGAGCATCAACAGACTATGACCAAATCATCCGGTCAATTTTGCTGCAGCTAATCCAGCATAACAGCGACCTAATTGCGTATATCTACGAAGAATTCATCCTTAAGCAGAAGGATGTCAAGGCGCAAGTAATAGAGAGCTTGATACTAGAGGTAATCGGGGCAATTTCCAACAATCCATCGCAGACAACATACGTCCACGTGGTATTGGACGGGCTAGATGAATGCGACAAGGAGAAGCAGCCTAAAGTCATCAGCTTGCTGGAGCGAATGGTGTCCAAGGCCTTTGCCACCACATCGACGGTCTGCAAGGTATTAGTGACAAGTATCATGCCGCCAGCAATTTCCAGAAAGCTGAAGCAGAAGCATTGCATTTCACTTTCAGGGGAGAAGGAAAAGGAAGCCCTGAAGAAAGCAATAGCAACCTATGCTGCCCAGAGACTTGGCGAGCTGAAGTCTAAAATGGACTTCAAGGTGTCCGAACTCAAAAGTCTCGAGCTTCAGTTGGCAACGAAGGCTGATGGTAAGTCTACGTTCAAAGCCTTATTATCAAAGACCGTCAACTCATCAAGTTTCAGGCATGTTTCTTTGGGCTCGACTTGTGTTAAATTACCTGACAAACAATATGTTTGTCCAGAAGCGTGAAGTTGTGGAAGCCGTCGATGCTCTCCCTCATGAACTAAGCGAATTGTACGTCAAGCTGCGAAGTGTTTCAGAGATGAATTAGTCTAACTCAAGCAGCTATGGACAAATTCTCGCCAAGATCATTTCACATTTTGACCAACGCTCTGTATCTCGTCTGCAATCAATCATGGGCTGGATTGCTTTTGCTAAAAGACCTCTGCGAAAAGCGGAGTTAAGATCTGCCATATCGTTCTCTACAGTAAATGACGGCGTCAATGTGGAGGAGCTGGCCCCGACTTACCTCTTCGACATGTGTATGCCCCTCATTGAAGAGCGAAGTGACACGACATTTGCCTTCATACACATCTCAGTAAAAGAGTAAGCTACTTCATTTTTGTTGAACCCATTTCTGGACTAGAGTCATTAATTTTTGGCTATAGTTTCCTCATGAGTTCTAAAAGCACGGTCTGTCTGGACGAGTTCAACCAGCTACAAGACCAGGGCCTTTCCATCGCATCTTGTCTATTGTCAGGATTGCAGGTCTTCCGGCCGACATATCCAAGTCTAGACCGACGGTTGCGTGTACTTCGTGGCTTCCATGGCCTTCACGTATATGCCTCGGAGTACTGGGCTGGATATTTACTCAGCATTGCTACTTCGAGAAAAGGCCTTGACACGAATTCCCTATTCTTTCGTCGGTCACATAAGCTTTCGGTGGTTCTGAATTCTTTTCGCCAAGCTAAGAATCCAGAGATCCTGATCCAAGGTTTGGACCATCAGATTTGCGGTCTCGATAGCCATCCTGAAATCCAAGCTGCAGTGAGAGCCATTGAGTCAGAGCGAATAAGAAAGCCCGTTGTCAGTAATCACGCCGCAGATGACCTTGTTATCATCAGCGGCCTCAGCACACTACTTTTCAACTATCAGAACACGGTCAAAGAGTTGTTGCAGCTATTCAACCATCCGAGGGTTACGGTGCAGGAGCTTGAGAAGTTCAAGCAAGACTTTCGCTGCTCCGCGTACACCTGCAGCTTCTCATCTTGCCCACTAGCTAGCACGGGGTTTGAGACCGAAAAGCTTCGAAACGAGCACGAAATGACGCATAGCCCACGAGTCCCTTGCGAGGTGCCAGGCTGCCAATACCCTGCCTTCCCTTCCACCTCGGCTCTGAAAAGACATCAAGCTAAAGAACACGCGAAGGGTATTTCCAAGTATAGGATCAGAGCACCTTCACAGAAAACCAAATCAAAGAACTTATCTGGCTCAAAACGCAAAGCTCCGATTAATCATTATCCACATGAGAAAGCCTCGCACCCCGACGAGAGTGATCCTGACGAATTTGAAATCGAAGCGCCAACGGGGATGAGCATGGAATTCGCGGTCTCGGATGATGTACAGAACGGTGATGGCTGGCACGCAGTCTCCAATCCGTCTGCGGATACCAAGCTGGACATCAGCCTTGTACGAACGTTGTATCCTGACAGTGTGGTTTCTTGCGTTCGCTTCAGCTTCGACGGCTTGTATCTTGCGGTGGGTTCTTACGAAAAGGCCGAGGTCTACACAGTAGCGCGGGGGGAGCTTGTCGCCGTCTTGAATAACGGTAATATCTCAGGCGTTCAAAGCATGTGCTTCTCCTCAGACAGCAGCTGCCTCGTTGTTGGCAGCGAGGACATGTTGGTTCGTGTAAGTAAAACTGACCTCACATTGATGAAACTGCACCCGGGATGCCATGCAGATTTGACAGGACTTTACAGATCTTCCACACTCGGACAGGTCGGGTCCTCAGGACCCTTGAAGAGCATAGAGGCACTGTGTATTCCGTCGACGTTTGCCGGATCAGCCACCCAGGAGCATTCCGCCATGGAAATGGAGACTTAATTGCGTCTGGATCTGCCGACCATACTATTCGTCTGTCGAATATCGATCCAAAGTATGACGGAATAGTGATTAAAACAGAGTCCGCCGTCAATTGTGTTGCTTTCAGTCCAAGCACCAACTATGTTGCCGCTGGCTGTATGGACAGCACCATTCAGATTTGGGATGTGAATCAGGGGAACAAGTTAGCTCATCTAGCAGGGCACCATGACTCAGTGTACGGTGTCAACTTTTACTCAGTGTACGGTGTCAACTTTTCATCGGATGAATTGCTGCTCTTAAGTTGTTCTCTCGACAAAACTGTAAAGGCTTGGAAACATAATCTCCCTCGTCGGGAGCATAGCTCCTGTATTATGACCCTTGAGGGACACTCGGTAAGCATGCCTTGTCGACTTTGTCTTACTCACTTGCTGATGCATACCAGGAACTAGTGCTTGCGGTGACTTCCACTCCAGATCAAAATTGGTTTATATCTAGCTCAGATGATCGCACCGTACGCTTTTGGGATAAGAATACTGGTAAAGCCGCCTTGATGTTGAAAGGTCACGAGGATTCGGTCGCGAGCGTAGTTGCAAGCCCCACTGGAGGATATTTTGCTACAGGTTCGGGAGACATGACAGCAAAGATTTGGGCGTATAATATTAGAAGCTAGTGGTCGCGTGCCTTGAAATTAAATTTCTTAAGTTCTGTGACACAAACCTTCGAGGGAGTGATGATTCTAGCAATTCAAGAAAGCAAAAGACTGGAACAAGGAAACGAAAAAGTGAAATTGAGCCGATTTACTGAAAGAAGAAGCCACAGTCCACCCCATTCTTGGATTCACTCTGTAGCGGACTTCAAGCATTGTCAAGGAAGTTGCTGTCCTTGCACCGCAAAACTTGACCGGCGTTGCCCAAAGAGGCCGGGCTTTGCATGAACGGTTTATATTCAATTGGACATAAAGGTATGAAAATTTTACAGTTGGCGTAGGGAGTCTACATCCCGTCATGAAATCCAGACCATGGCTAGACACGTGTAGTTTGTTGATCACGGAAGCTGTCAGCCTACCTCTCGGATGTGATAACATGGTCATCAACTAGGACAGCCCAACCTCGGGATCCTGCTCTGGTGCGAGTTTCAAAGCCGGCAAGTACGCAAAGTTGGACCACAGAAGATAACAGAACTTTGTAATGACACTAATGGGCTTCAAGCTTTAGTATGAGATGCAAACACGCTTTGTTCCGGGGTGACATAGCCGTCGAGGTTCTTCAGGTTTAGATTACGGGATTCTTGTGCTTTCTGTCAAGCGACGTATACTTATCCGATCAATTCTTTACCAGATTAAAACATAAGTAACTAAGGAAAAGTTAGGTGCCCATGCGGTTGCACACTTATTTTTCTCTCTTCAAAATGCCTTTCCCTCGTAAAATTGATCGCCTGAATATCTACAGCTCCATCGGGGTAGCCCGAGTATAGCCAATAAGCTTTCGAATATTTGGGAATAGAAATGGAGCTTGTCTTGGAGAAGATAGAGATTGTATCTTATCGTCAGGCACACTGTGATAGTGCTACTTAGAGAGACTTAAGTCGACCTACCATCAGCAGATTAGCATTCTGCATCTTGTGCTATATCGCAGCCAGTTTTGGCTTACTTCTGTATCTCAAAGTCTTGTAAAGGAATCCTGGCTCGTGCACCCAGGCTACAATAAGTGCAAAGAGGACACTAAATTTGCACATAGCTGTACGCATTGAGCATTCTTACTGCGTTCCTTGCGTTGCTACACACATTTTAGGTTACTGAGTGTCCTGAGTGAGGTGTGGCGAATGAGAGCTCCAATACGGTTGGCATTGCCAGTCGCAGCGGGGGCCAGAGCGAAGCGCTTACCCGACTTAGTTAGAGCTTGGTCCTGTGCAGCCCGTTGGGTCCACGTATCAGAGCGTAGCAGCAGCCGCCGACAATTCAGTGGATGCCCAGTGCAGCTTCCAGCTCCGAAGGAACTTTTCGTAGTACCCAGGCTGCTGGGGAAGCACTTTTTCTGATTCAGACCGAGTGATAACTACATGTATCTTTCCCGTACTTCGTAGACCATGGAAAATTGTAAGAGAATATCATTAGAATAAAGTAGTCAAGTACAGCAAACAACTGTGCTAAGAAGTAAAAGCGGCCACAACATAATTGCCTGACATCCATTCGTTTCGCAACCCTTTTCACTATGAGATACACGCTTGATGAAGAAGTCTCAGTCTCTTTGCAAGCCTGACTCCAAGCACCTAGCCTGATACTACACCACATGTAGTCTTGGGAACCCCATACTCAATCCTTAATCATTCGACTTACCACAGATTCAGACTTACGTCTGGAACAAAGCGGTATTGAGGCAGGCGAGAACCGAGTCTCCGTTGGTAGCGGTCGAGGACAAGCAAGTAAGGGCAGCTCCAACAGCGAATGGACCAAGGGCAGCTGTGCACAAAGGCAGGTCGACAACCAGCTCCGCTGCAGTATCACCTGCCAGGGCGAGACAAGGCTCTGGCAAAGTCGAGATGCACTGCGTACTGAGAGCAGTCGTCAGGCAGGTCACAATATCCTGTCCAACACTCAGAGGGCCAATGACATCAGTAGCAAGACAGGTTGCCGCGTTTCCAACACCGTAAGCGCCAAGGGCTGCCGTACACACCGGAATTGCCGCAATAAGGGCAATGCCGTTGACAGAGGCGAGACTCTGGCAAGGCTCAGGGACCGTGGCGCAGACCGAAGGCGTAGGGGTTGCAGTGGCAGTCGGACAGTAGGCGGAGTTGGTGATTGTGACCACGCCAGATTGGAGGCCAAAGGCAATTTCGAGACACTGAATGATGCTCGTGCCCGTAGTAGATGCTGTGATGGTTCCCGTTGCAAGACAGGTCGCAGCACTACCAGCGGCGAAGGGACCAAGGGCAATAGTGCACTGGGCCACATCTGCGACAAGAGCCAGACCGTTGGACGACGCTAGATCAGTACACGCTGTCGGCAGGGTTGAAATACAACGCCCCTCGAGAGCGGTGAGAATGCAGCTTGCGATGTCCGAGCCGGCAGTAGTGAGGCCCACGTTGGTTGCAAGACATGTTGCAACGTTGCCTGCTGCGTATGGACCAAGAGCCACAGTGCAAGATGCCACAACCGGCACGAGAGCGAGACCGCTGGTGGTGGAGAGTGAGGCACAGGCTCCGGGCAGGGCGACGTTGCAGTATTCTGAGGTGCTCGTTGCGGTCACGACGCATGCGGAAACTGTGGAGCTCTGCGAGGTTGTGGTTGTTGGAGTCCCTGTCAGCGTGCTAGATGAAGACTCAGAGGACGAGCTAGATGACGACGAGGAGGATGAGCTTGAAGAAGACTCGGTCGATGAGCTTGACGAGCTAGATGAGGACGAAGTCACGCTCGAGGACGACTCGGTTGAAGAGCTAGATGAAGAAGGAGTTGCGCTTAAAGACTCAGAACTTGTGCTTGAGGAAGATGAAGATGTAGCAGGCTCAGTCGATGTGGTAGTTGAAGACGAGGCGGAACTGCTAGGGTCGGTAGAGGTTGAGCTTGACGATTCAGAAGGCGAAGAGGAGGCGGTAGATGACTCTTGGGAGCTAGAAGCAGCGCTTGAAGAACTTTGCGAGGAACTGCTTGTGTCCGTAGAGGTAGTGGTTTCTATCACAGCGGTCGAGCTCGCAGAAGTGGACGTCTCACTGGAGCTCGTGGCTGGATCTGATGAGGTAGCCGACGATGGAGACGGAGTTGTGCTTGAAGCCCCGGAACTGACACTTGCAGAAGTCGTAGGGTCAGCCGGAGTGAAGATGATGACGGTGCCAACAGTAGCGGTGCCAGTAGGAGCGATGGACAGGGTGGAGGCGACAGTGCCAGTCCAAGGACCGCTGATAGTGGTGTAAGGGCCCGTGAAGGTAGTCTCAGCGGCGGTAGGCAGAAGCACGAGCTGGGTTCCAGTGGCATCGGTTCCAGACGGAGCAAGCGTAACTGTAGTTGGAATAGTACCAGTCCATGGTCCGGTCAGAGTTGTGTAAGGGCCAGTGAAGGATGTAGCGGCGGTTGTGGGAACGAGAACGATTTGAGTTCCGATGGCGTCTGTTCCAGCTGGAGCTAGGGTCACCGTGGTAGGAATAGTCCCGGTCCAGGGGCCAGTCAGAGTCGTGTATGGCCCAGTGAATGAGCCAGCCACAGAAGTGGGTGTCAAGACGATTTGAGTTCCGACCTGGTCAGTTCCTTGAGGCGCGAGGATGGCAGTGGTCGGAACCGTTCCGGTCCAGGGCCCAAAGATGGTTGTGTATGGTCCAGTGAATGGGGTGACGATTGGGGAGGAGGTAGGCGTCAACACAATTTCAGTTCCGACTTGATCGGTTCCCTGAGGTGGGAGGTGGGCGGTTGTAGGAATTGCGCCAGTCCAGGCTCCGGTGACTGTGGTGTAAGGACCAGTGAAGGAGCTCAAGCCGGCGGATGTCGGCAGGAAGACAATGGCAGTTCCAGTTGGGTCACTTCCCTCAGGCGCTAAAGACAGGGTTGTTGGCTGGAGTCCCGTCCAAGTGCCAGTGATCGTCGTGTAAGGCCCGGTGAAGAGAGCTGGTGCCGCAGTAGGGCTTAGAACAATTTGGGTGCCTGTCTTATCGGTACCTCGGGGCGGGAGAGTGACAGTCGTCGCGGTGCTTCCCGCCCAGGCCTCGGTGAGTGTGGTATAGGGCCCCGTGAAGACACCCTGGGCTCCGACCTGCCCAGATGCTTCGGGAGCGAAGACAATGACGGTGCCTGTTGGATCACCCCCAGCCGGCGCCAAAGTCAGAGTCTTCGTGCCCTGGCCAGACCACTGACCTGCAGTAAGAGTCGTGTAGGGGCCGGAGAAGGCAGCATTGTCCGTGGCCACGGGAGTACAGATAACCTTTGTTCCGACCTCATCGCCGGCCTTAGGGGGGATGACAATGGTGGTAGGCTCAGAATCAGGGCCACCATGAGCAGTAAGTGTAGCGCAGGGACCATCGAATATAGAGAAAGAGTTTCTGAGACAAAGCGGGCGTCAGTATGGTCCGAGGAAGTAGCCATAAGGGGAAGGTCAGAAACGGGCTTACATAGTAGAGGTGTGAGTGATGGTACTGGTGACCACAAAGTCCGACACAAGGAAAGTCGGGGCGTTGGTGATGGACAAGACAGTGCCGGCAACACTCAACGTTGTGTTGGAACAGATATCGGCGCTGAGATGAACAGGGATCTGCTCGACCATTACGTAGGCCTGAACAGTCACAGGGTCTCCGGTGGGAGCAAGGCAGCTAGACGTAGCCGACACAGGCTCCAGGGCCAGAGCCGAAGCCAGGGCGGCGGCAAGCGCTCCTTTCCTTGAGGCGCGCATTTTAAAAAGAGAAGTGAATAAGGCGTTTGCTGAAGTTGCAGGGATTCAAGTGAATGGCAAGATACAAATGAGGAGAAGATAGTGATGATATTGTTCTCAATCTTCTCGAGACTTCATGTAGTTTATATGTGAATATCAAGAAAGCGATCATGCACTCGCGCAGCTGATACAAAACGGAACTTACTCAGTATGTCTTATCTATTGCATTCCGTCTTGTGAAGCCGTAGAGTCGAACATGATTGAACTGGAACGCATGCGGAGAACGACACTCAGCTGCCACCGTAGCCAAGTAACCTATTCACAGCATCTCGGCTAGAGCATAGGAATTTACAGATATCTACACATCATACGAGCGCTACGGAAGCCCCGCTCTCGTATACAAGGGACCAAGAACGTGCATGCTTCGAGTCTAGACGCGCTTTTGGTGATGAAAACAGCATGATCTTGACTACTACAGCTTGACGTCTTATTCTCAGCCCTTGGTGTCATATCCTACACTTTCCCTCTTGGGAAGATGTTTTCCCAATGTCTAATAACAACGCGGTGCGTTGTCCAGTACCGGCCGTTGTTGCCGAGGGTCGAGGATGTTGTGGGCCAAGATCGAAGCTGAAATTGAGAGACACAAGGATTGCTCTGCCCTCCCTGGCATCATCCCGGCTGAACATCACTCCACCACCCAAAACACCAATCATTCGACATCCAGCTACCAAGAGAAGGGTCCAAGACGAAGATCCTCATTTCTGTTTGAAAACGGTCTAGAACACCCCATGCGGCGCTTGAGCTCCAGAATAATACCTCACATCTGGCGCGATGTCACAACATTCACTTCATCCCATCCGCATCGAGTTCTATGTATGGACATGAGAATTTCGAGTCGAATCTCTCAGGCCATCCCCCGCTCCAAAAGTCCAGGATTGCTGTCAATTGCAAATGTTGACCTTTCCCAGTCCGTCAAATCTTACGCAGTCGGAATGGAGTGAAAGTGCAAAGAAACATCACAGGATATCGTCGGCTGGGCCTCGTTGGCTGCAGAACCATCGAGAGCCGGATACAGACAATTTCTGATTGCTAAGGAAGTTGTCCGCGTTGGGCTGTTGATAAGGGAAAACAAAAATGATCATGTACGGCAACCTATATAGACTGTCGTATCCAAACACATTTTGAGGCCAGTCAGATTCATCAGTCCCCAAGTCTCAACAATCTACCTTATATCGGCTCTTCATTCCTTTGCCCAAACTCCATCTCTTTGATTGCCCTCCTTGCTTCACATCACAATGCAGCCGCAACTCTTGTCCCTTTTCATCGGGCTTGCCCTTGCGGCCCCTCATCTTGGCCCTAGAGACGATGGCTGTGGCGCGATCGTCAGCTCTGCTGTGCCTATTACCGTCACTGTTGTCTCTCCAGTGCAAACAGTTACCTTCAGCACCTACACCGAGACTCCAAGCTCAGATGCCCCTCATACAGCAATCCCTGCCGGCTCTCCCGGCTCTCCCCCGGCGTCTGCCCCTGGAATTTCCGAGATGCCTCATGAAGCCTCCCCGTGGAGCAATAAGACCGCCTTGCCCAAAGAAACCTTCACCGTTACTCTCGGGCTTTCTACCCCGAGCGCGATCCTCCCCACCGCCTCCGCTTCGCCTGGAGTCGCACAGTCAAGGATGGGAGAGCAACCTGCACCTTCGTCGCCGTCGGCATCAACCAACTCTGGAAGCTTCACTGCCAATGCTGCCAGCTCTGCCTCTCAGGACTCCGAAACTCACGGCCATAGTTCATCGCCTCTGGAGACAGCATCCACTGAAGTCGGCGGTGTAGCGCCAACCACCATCACAACCGTGATTCCAATCACGCTGACTTCTCAGAGTGGAAGTGCCCCACAGGAGACAGCTAGTCCTTTGTCGACAATCACTGGAAACGCCTCAGTAAACGCCCCTTCGCAGACGAGTCAGAGTGTGCAATCCCAGACGCCTGTTCAGGTCTCAGCTTCGACTGGATCTCAAGCAGCTTCGTCTCTCTCAGTTACCAAGATATTCCTGGTCTTCATTCTCTTGGCAATAGAAGGATTCTTCATCTGCTAGTCGAGATGAATGTCACTCAAGAGATGTAGATAACATCGAAGGAAGTAGAAGAGAAGAGACAGTTTCGCTGTGAGGGAGTTGTAAGGTTGTAGTAATGGGTAATGGGGGCTAAATATTGCGTGGATGCGTCAGTTTGCTGGTCAGTGGCATGTCGTTGGCCCGAGTCAGAAAGCCGTTGAAGCTTGGGTGAGACATCGGTCTCATTTTGTGGCAGTTTTTCTTCATTTTGTGGGGTAATTAGCCTGGAATCGTAATCATTAGCACTACCATTCTTAATCTATCTGGCCAGATATTTCCGGTATTCCGACATCCTGACCCTTGTCGAGCTGACTTTGCCATTTTGATACTAAGACATGGAAGCTAGACTAGCCCTTTTGAGCCAAGGGAGTTGCCAATCCCCACGCTGACTCTTGGTATTCTGCTTGCGACAAAAGGATTGGGCAGAACTCGAGATATGAAAAAACTTTTTTTCAGGACGAGGGGGTCTGCCAACTGCTTCGTGTGAAGTGCATGAGTCTGTGGTTTGTTGTTGGAGGGTTCATACAAGGCAATTCCAGGAAGGATGGTTCGGGCACTACTTGGATGGCTCTACCATGGTTAAGGAAGACGCTTCGTGTGGCCGCAAAGTTAGCGTCCCGCGGGCTAGAACGCAATGAAGGGCGATGAGCGGATCCCGAAAATAAGGTACGCTAGCAACGAACTACTTCTGTCTAACTTCTGATCGTCAACATCGCATGAACATGATGTGAACTCCAAAGACTTAGGTGCCTGAGACTGAAGTCAAATAGCTTTGGGTTTCAATCGCGTATTGCGAACATTTGGAATCCGGCATCCCTCAATGATTTGATGCACGCAGACGATGGCAACTGCAATGCAACACTTGGTAACCTCTATGCATCTCAGGCAGACCAATACAAGGCGACTTGTGTCCATCGTCGCTGTTGGAATATCGACAGAAAAGGGTTCACATGGAAGATAGCCTGGGCTGTTGCAAGCAGCTCCTCTGCCACCTATTTCCATCTCCAAGGCAATCATGGACTCCGCCCATTCACTGTTTCTTTCCCATACAAAAGTAAGCAGTTCAGTACCGGATCGTTGAGCTGTGTGCCAGCTGAAAGGCGTTGCCCTGCTGACGTGTGTCTCAACAGTCGTCAACCCAGCAACGGAAATCTTGTGAAGGGCTTCTTTAAGATTTGTGGAGCGATGTCTAAGTGTCTAGGAAATGTTCTGTTATGGATCGTTCGCTACACATGTCTTCCAGTATTTTAGACGTGGGGATGTATTTGCGAGCTATAGCACTCAGCAACAAAAATCACTCGGACTGAGATTGACCCAACGGTCAAGAATTTCTTTTGACTTGTTTCTCAACTTTTCTATCAATGGCGAGACTTGACTCTTCAGTCGCAGATAAGCCTCGGAGTCGAACTTCAGTAAGCAAATGTGCTGCATGTCATTAGCCATGGTTCAGATCGAAGGAGGCTCGCAGGAAACGACGTTTAGGACCAGTGATAGGGATAGTCACTTGTGGCCTCAATTCTCAATTGTCTCTCTGCTTCATAGAGACCCTAGAGTTTCCACACAATAGATGCTTCAGGCTTCATGGAGACTTCGCAACTTCCCCAGTGTAACGCCAAAACATTAGGCCCTGATTTCAGAATCTCCAATGATACTAGTGTGTAGACTCATGATAATGATAGCGTAATGAGATCATGTTGAGTGGTCACGTTATATCATAGCAATAGCCATGTCCTGGATGCTCGTATTCGGTATGACGAAAACCTAATCCGAATCACTGCCCAAGGTCAGCAGAGTCATCAATTACAAATGGCCCATTTCACCGCTGATAAGCACTTGAGATAGGTCTTAGAAACTCAAAATCTATTACGGGAGTACGAGGGAAGAACATGATGAGAAGTAAGCTCGCTGTAATAATGCGAGGTTAACCACCATATTTGAGGTCCTCATATCGGATTAATCCGTTACTAAGCTTCGATATTTGACCTAGGCCAAAACCGTTATTCGAAAATTGGAACAAGTCATCGAGATTGGAACAGGTGTGAGAATTGAGATTTCTGATTCCTAGTTTTTCATTCTCTCTTCCCCGAGTTCTCGCGACGCACGTCATTATTCAGCTCTCAGCCCGCACGAACGCAAATCATCACGACTTGAAATGGCCTCGACTACACAAAACTCGACGATCCCATCATCATTGTCAGCTTCCAAATTCCAGCGATTAAACGGCTCTCGAGCGATTGCGAGAGTCTTGTGATGGAACACGACATGGGCGCTCGCCGAATGCCCTTTCTGCGAGCAACCTCATGAGCATTCAATCAGCTTCTTCCCGAGCGCCGATGAGAGTCTACGCCAGCCTAGTTCAAACAGTCCTTACACCTTTCGAGGATTAGAGCCTGCGACCATGTGGTTCTTTGTTGCACCATGCCATACCGCCGGCTACGCATACAGGCTCGTCTTCCCTTTTGAGAAGCACGATGCTGTGAGATGGCTTTCCTGGGAGATCAAGACATCTACTTCCGAAAAGAACGAAGAATCACACTTTCAGTGTTTTGAAACCGTTGGTTTCAGGAAATTTGGACTGAATGCTCCGCCTGAGTCCAGCCGTTTGGATCATCGTATCAGCGTGACGGACCGGTTTGAGAACATCAGTGTCAAAGACCACGCTATTCCTTCTGGAAACGAGAGACAAGAAAATGGCATTGGGCCAGTCCGGACAAGAGGATCTCTGAAGCTTGACACAGAAGCAAGTGAAAAAGAGGATCGTTGGGGTTGCGTCCACGACTACGCGACTTGCCCTCACTTCAACCACGACCTACGCATTGAAGGAACTCTAGGATCTTCGAGGCTATCTATAGATGTAGCTCATGGCAATCGCACAAACGTTCAGGAACTCTTACGATTAGGCGCAGACGTCAATGCAGGTGACAACCGAGGCCGTACACCCCTAACGGAGGCAGCTTTCTGGACCCGCGTCGAATTAGTCGGAATACTCCTCGCCGCCGGGGCAAATGCGCAACAGAAAGATCGAGACGGGCGTGTCGCTGCAGACTTTGCCGAGGAGAATGAGAGAAACGACGAAGAGAGGGAGTATCGACATGTCGACTACGCGGAGAAACCATTGAAGTCAAAGAGTCGTCGAAGACATATCAGGGCACTTCTCGGAGTTGCGCCTCCTTTACAAGCCCAAGTCGCCAAGTCCGATTTCGCAAATTTATTCCAACCCCGGTTTGTCAAATCGCCAGTCGCGAAGACTGCTCTTTTGATCAATCCGAGACGAGGCATCCCAATCGCGCAACAGGATCAGACAATAGGGGTTCTCCTCCGAGGCAGACTATTTGAGCCGGTCGTTGCCGTTGGCGGTTGGACTGGTGGTGGCTCCCAATCCCCGTTTGGTGGGAACGATTACAGCAGGCTGAACTCCAACTACTGGGCTCACAAGATGCTGAGCTTTGCGAAGGGAATCGGGTTCACCTTTGACGAACACGAGTTAGATCCTGATTCTATGAGGGGTTTGTACCACGCCAGTCACGTTGTGGCTCAGTTGCTTTGCTTCGTCGCGCATAAACATCAGCCTTTTATTGAGAACCAGGATGATCGCGACAGACAGATCAGGCTTGAGATCTTATTCCACTACCAGCACATGGAGACGCTCACCAAAGTGGAGATCGTGACCAGTCAGAAGCCATGTCCCAGTTGCCTGATGTTGATGGAATATCTGGCGAAACGGATGTGGCTAGATTTCGTGGTTGTGGTCGCTAAAGAGATTGTCTTAACATGAGTTGATCAGAATTGGCATTGGTTGAGAAGGAGTATAGTGTAATGGGCCAATAATACAGATGCTACCGAGCAGGAATGACAATTTGAGCGGGGTTGCGTATCGACTTCGAGTATCATGGAAGCATCTCAGTTTCGGTTTCGCGATTGGTCACTAACAGCAATCATTCATCTTAACGGTCGGCTCTATCGGTTGAGGGGTAGGAAAAGAGCGAAGCGTGACTGACGTGGGTAAAGACCTCCCTAAACCATCAAGATATGAGCACTTTTGTCGGGAGATCCGAAGATTGAATTGATACCCATTTATCAGATCCACGTTTTTCATCGTAACTCGGGAAGTGGGTAGAGTGTGATCACTGATGTGATCAGAGATGTTCTCGATATTAGCTCCGGCCCGTCTCTCGCTTCAACCCCACCTCCCACACTCCGCCGGGCTTGGCTGGGCTGAAGATCGGCGCGTCAAGCTTCAACCTTTGCCGCCCCCAAGGACCAACGACTCTTCTCGAATCCTGAACCTGGGGAAAGCAAAGGTCGCCGAGGACGTGTTTAGACATGTGGACTCAGAAAAGTCAAAATCGAGTTAAAGGGGACGGTAAGTTCCTTGCGCTAGAGCCCAGGGATGGCGAAGCCGCGCAGGCGATTCATGAACATGAGCCACACTAAGAGTTCATCCCACTAATAAGGCCCTCTCGGTGGGGCTATTGCGAGCCAAATCGGCCAATTGTGCATTTGTTTAACCTTCTAAAAACAAACCTCGCAGACCCAAAGATTTTCCCCACGACGCTTGTTTGTCGAAATGACCCTTAATGTTGGGTTTCCCGAGGGGCTGGCATGACGATTTGCAAATGAGGCTCAGATGTAGACAACGTCACCCGGCTCGGAGGACGCGTCCTTCTCACCGGTTAGCACGGCGATCACCGTCTTGGTGAAAAGTCCGATCGAAAAAGGGAGTTGAAGTTGGAGGCTTTCTGTTATATAAACAGCCCGCGATGTCAGCCCTGAAATGTAGAGATTCTTGAGGAGCATCGCAAACCAACAACACATCCCGATCGCTGCTCACCTTCGCTTCAAAGCTTGAAACCAAGATGAAGTTCACAAACACCTGCCTGCTGATGGCAGCTTCGGCTGCGGCCCAGACTACCGCCCCAGCCCCGACAGCAACCTCCGGCTCCGGATCCCTCCCGTCCGTGACCCTCGACTACTGTACCGTCGTCGCCACCGCCGGCAACGAGTCCGTCGGGTACTACAAGTACCAAAACATCCGCTACGCCACCGTTCCCACCGGCGACCTCCGATGGGCCAAGCCCCAAGCGCCCCCCGTCGAGACGGAAGTCAACACTGGTGACCTGGCCTCGGCCGATGTCGCCTGCAGCTCCGCCGAGGACTGCCTTTACGTCGATGTCTGGGCTCCCGCCGATGCTGCGGGCAAGAACCTCCCCGTGATGGTGTGGACCTACGGTGGTGGCTTCACTGGCGGAAGCAAGTCTGAGAACACTCCGGAGGGTCTCTTTGACCTTTCCACCGACTTCGTCTACGTCGCGTACAACTATCGCCTCGGTATGACTGGCCTTGCCAATGGCCCTACCTTCTTGCACGAGGGTGGTACCTCCAACACCGCCATCTGGGACGTCACTGCCGCTTTCGAGTGGACCAAGAAGTACATTAGCAACTTTGGCGGTAACCCCGACGATGTCACCGCCGTGGGCTTCTCTGCCGGTGGCTCCCAGACTCTCTTCCAGATGACTGTAAGTACTCGTCTTCAACTAACCTTTAGGCATCTAAGCTGACCCCCTTGAAGCGCTTCGCTGGCCGCGCCGAACAGCTCTACAATCGCGCCTACGTCATGTCCCCCGGCTTCGTCCCCGGCGCCGGCCACCAGCACGCCGAAGCCTTCTGGCAAAACGTCTCCACCGAGGCCGGCTGCTCCGGCGGCAGCCTCGAGTGCATGCGCTCCATCGACTTCGACACCCTCAACACGGCCGCCACCACGGTCCAGGACGCCTACGACTACCAGTTCCAGCCCCGCGTCGACGGCGACATCATCGCCGACACCTACGAGGCTCAGTTCTACCAGCGCCGCTTCAACTTCTCCGGCCCCGTCGTCATCACCCACGAGCAGCACGAGGCCAACGGCCAGGCCTACGACGGCGTGAACACCACCGAGGATGTCGCTGCTTATCTCCGCATCTTCTTCCCCGCCATCAACGATGCCGTTGTTGACGAGATCCTGTCGCTTTACCCCGAAGATGACTACACCTCCCCTGGTCTGCGCTTCTCCGACATGAAGCAGCACTTTGATCTGACTGCCCACAACCTGGCTCTGACCCACGCCATGAACAACCAGACCTGGAACGCAATGGTTGCGCTTGACCAGGCCACTCACGGCACTGACCAGAGCTACTACTGTAAGCTTATTTCCCCTCTTATTCTACGTGTCACATATCATCTAACACATAAAACAGGGTACAGCACCTACTCCCTCTCCGACTCCACCTCCAGCACCGGCACCACCACGTCTAACTCCACCACCTCAAACTCAACCGCTACCTCCGCCGCCGCTTCGGCAACCGCTTCCTCTAGCGCAGGTGGCCCTCCCTCCGGTGGTGCCGGCGGACCCGGCGGTGGCTCTACCTCCGTCAATGCCACTGTCGCCGTCATGATGCAGAAGTACCTCATGTCCTTCGTGCTGACCGGCAACCCCAACACCATGTGGCCCGAGGACAAGATCGAGTGGCCCCAGTACGGCAACAGCTCTGCTGCCGGCACTCAGCTCGTCTTTAACACCACCTTTTACCTTGAGGAGGATGACCTGGCGAATGCCCAGGCCAAGTTCTGGAATAAGGCTCTGTGGTACTAAGTGCGATGATGCTATTGATACCCCCTAGTCATAGGACCTTCCGTTGTATGTATTCTTAAACAAGTAAATAAGCAAAGTAACAGAGGGATACTCTCCTTTTAAGGCCATACGTGAGAATGAACATCGCATTGGGTGATTTGGATTTATTGGCGGAACTCATATCAAAAGCCTTGTACGACCGAGGTAGTCTCCGGGATCTAAGAAACTTGTCCTTCCAACGTACAGATACCAGCTTAACAGCCAAGTGGTGGGATGACGCACTGGATAGGAGTCTTCGCGGCGCATTAATACTACCAAGCGAGGTCACTATTTGGCTACCTCGTGAGGATGGTGAGGGGTCTGATCTCCCATCAAATAAGCAAAGCAAACAACAATCTGACCTCGTGAAACTGCCCCTCATTGACTTGGTAGATTCCTTGTTGCTACGCCGCTCGCCTAAATTGTGCCTCAATCTTTATGAGGCCACGGCTCATGCGGCCTCAAACAGGCGCAGCTCTCAAATCTCAACCGCCGCTTTCCCAGCCGAGAAGCGCTGCGCAAACACCCCAGCCCGTTTGACATAAAGGAGGTAAATAGAACAACCTGCAGCACCAAGACGGCGTGGCGCATCGCACTATGCATGAACAGTGGGGGCAACGACCACTCCGCGTTTCTCTGTTGGTTCTCGTCGTTGTTGGTGACGGAAACGCAGAGCTGCGCTCAGCCCCCTTGCATTTTCGCATGGGCTTCCTTCACGATGTAACCCTGCTAACCTTCATCAAGAAGATGGGTGAGCATAAATCTAGGCTAATAGACGCCGTCCGCAACCTTACCCGTGGAAGATGGCCTCTTCCCGTGCCTGAATGCAACCCTTTCTTATCATTAGACTTTCGTTCATCACATCATAGTAGCGGGAAATAGGGTGCCAGGCGTCTTTGAGCTGGCGACATGCTGTTCGCAATGGGACATGGGGGCCGCAATATAATCCTGGCAGCATGTTTGCTAACCGCCAAGATGGGGCCAAACGGACAGAGTACAAAGGAGAGGATATGCCTGGGGTTCATAAAGAGAGCATGTCATGGGACAGACGAGGAGGGGATCGAGGGGCCCTCTTGAACCTCTCTGCTTTCATCAATCATCTCTGCTGCATTTTTCAAGATGATTGTCCCTCGAAGAAGACAACCATGCTTCATCTTCTGGGCTGTGCCCGTTTTATTGCTTCTGTGCATCTTCTGGCAGAGTGACTCTAGACTGCCAACACTACCATCGATAGCTTCGTTGTCGCAAACGCCACTCCCTCCTAAGCTAGTTCAATGGCAGACTGAAGACGACAAACACTACTTCTGGAGGACGAGAAAGGTCAACTACCCAGCCCCGACTCCCCTACGACAACTCCCAACATGTCCCCACGTCCGCTTCCCCCAAGTTCAGGCCCATTTCCCACCCGAGACCGGTACCCAACGCCGCGTCCGCGGAGAACGCCAGCAAGCCGTCAAGAAAGCTTTTGCCAAAGCATGGGAATCCTACCGCGACAACGCATGGATGTACGACGAACTCACTCCCGTCTCCGGGAAAGGCCGTAACACGTTCGGAGGCTGGGCCGCGACCCTCGTGGACTCCCTCGACACCCTCTGGATCATGGACATGAAGTCCGGCTTCGACGAGGCTGTCGCCGCCGCGGCGACAATCGACTTTACACACACCGACCTGGACGAAATCAACGTCTTTGAGACAACCATCCGATACTTGGGCGGCTTCCTCTCTGCCTTTGATCTGTCAGGCGACGTTCGCCTCCTCCGAAAAGCAGCTGAGGTCGGCGAGATGCTCTACAAGGCCTTTGACACGCCCAACCGCATGCCCATCACCCGCTGGAAAGTCGGCGATGCAGCCCGCGGTGACGCTCAAAACGTCGGGAATGGCGCCCTGGTAGCTGAGATCGGGAGTCTCTCAATGGAATTCACCCGCCTCTCAATACTAACAGGCGACCCCAAGTTCTGGGACGCAACCCAACGCATCATGGAAATCTTCGAACGGCAGCAAAACAAAACCAACATCCCCGGTCTATGGCCTTTAGTCGTGAATCCAAAAGACGAAGTCTTCACCCAAGGGGACGACTTCACCCTCGGCGCCATGGCCGATTCCCTCTATGAATACCTCCCCAAAATGTCCGCCCTCGTAGGCGGACGCAGCGGGATGTACAAGTCCATGTACGAATCCGCCGTGAAACCTGCCATCGAACACAACCTCTTCCGGCCCATGACGCCGACCAACGAAGATATCCTCATCGCGGGGCAGGCGCACTCTCGCGAATCCAACGGTGTACGTACTATTGAACAGGAGCCGCAGGGCCAGCACCTTGTTTGCTTCATGGGTGGGCTTCTTGCGCTTGGTGGGAAGCTATTCAACCACCCCGACGAAGTGTCTGTGGCGAGGAAACTTGTCGACGGGTGTGTGTACGCTTACAAGTCTTTCCCGCATGGCATCATGCCGGAGACGTTTTACATGGTCCCCTGCCCCTCCAAGCAAGAATGCGCATGGGACGAAGCCCTCTACAAAAAGCACGTCCTCGAACGGGCAGAGAGAAAGGACGACGACGAGGTTCTCACCGCAGACGAAATCATCAAAAAGGACCGCCTTGTTCCAGGATTCTCCGCCGTTCCGGACCGGCGCTATATTCTCCGCCCCGAGGCAATTGAAAGTGTGTTCATCATGTACCGCACCACAGCCGACACGAGCTTGTTAGACTCGGCGTGGGACATGTTTTCGTCCATTGACAACGTCACGAGTACGGAACTTGCTAATACGGCAGTGTGGGATGTCACGGCTGAGGGACAACCTCCTCAGTCGGACTCGATGGAGTCATTCTGGATGGGGGAGACGTTGAAGTACTTTTATCTCATCTTTAGCGAGCCTGGGTTGGTGAGTTTGGATGAGTTTGTGTTCAATACCGAGGCACATCCTTTCAGACGATGGAAGTGAGGTGGTGTAAATGTTGTTGTATATATCATATGTATAAATACCATGGCCGGATTATAAACAACCAACGTGCCTCATCACCCTGATACCTTGTTTGATGCCCTCGAGCAAGCATCCCTCAAAACCTCCCTCAAAGTTCCTCCTTCTCCTCGATCACCTCAATCTTCTCTCCGGGCTTTACACAAACCCAAATCTTCCCATTCCAAACCCCTTCCTCTGGATAAAGACAAATCCTTCTAACCTCCTCATCAACAACCACCTTCCCATCCTCTCCAATCTTGAAACCCCTCGCATCCAACTGCTCCGGCGCAACACCCCTCTCGACCCACGCCCTTAACTTCTCCAACGCACTCCAGGGAAACGGCGCTCCATACATCGAAACGCAGTGATTCACCCCAGGAACCTCAAAATACCTCCAAAACTCCTCAATCTCAACTCCGCGCTTCGCCTCGATCCCCTTGGCCTTCTCATACAGTCCCCTTCCGACCTTGATAGAGATAGCCTGGTCCGCCATACCGTGCCACATGAGAACCTTTCCCCCGCGCTCCCTGAATCTTCTCATATCCGGGATGGGCGTCCCGATGACGGAATCGTACTCCTCGACTCCCCGCCGGAAGACGTCCCGGAAAGTCTCCCTCGACATCGACGCCGGATCAAATGCCGGATCCTTCTCGATGAACAGCCGGATCCATTCATCCGTCACGGAGAACGGCACACCTGCACACCTGGTTCGATCCATCTCGTCCTTACAGACACTATTCATCATGGCAAGCAACCCAGCAAACTGCGTCCCAGGAACATAACTCGGAAACATCTCCCTCCCCTCCTCATCCAGCACACCCCCCACAACCTCCTCAACAACCTCAACCGCCCCCCTCGAAACCCTCCCCTCAATCTTCTTCCCATCCTTCCCATCACAACTAAACTCCCTCCCCTACGCCGTCCTCACATCAAACCCACACTCCCCCAAGCGTCCGATAACCCCGTCCCTCCTCCCATCACCCAAATCACACGCCTCAACTCCAGCCTTCACAATCGCCCCCAACTCACACCCAGAAGGCCAATACCCCCTCCACCGCATAACCAACTGCGGAAAATACAACGACGTCACCATGGCAGGGAACTCCACGGCCGGACACATACTCAATACCCCGTCAAAGTCCCCCGGATACCGCTGCGCAACAGCCAGCCCCTGCCTCCCGCCCGTCGAACACCCCTTGAAGTAGCTATACCTCTCCCCAGCATCATAGTACGCCCTCAGTACAGCCTTCCCCACGACAGCGAGCTCGTGCAGACTCCTGTATCCAAAGTTGACCAGCAGCGGCCAATTAATGTTCCCCGGGCTCCGTAAAGCCCATACATCAGGCGGCAAACTCGCGAGGTGTCCGCCGTCCGTGACAGCAGCGACATACCCTTCTTGAATCGCCGCACTCGGTCCATCGCCATCTACCTCCCCGACAACGAACCCGCCGCCACCTAACCCCATGAACCGCTCATTCCACGCGCTCTTCTCGAGGGGAAGCCAGACGTGTACGTTGACGAGGTCATCGTGGCCTGGGTGGGTGTAGGAGACTGTGACGTTGCAGAAGGGGGGGATGCCGGTTGCGGAGGCGGATGTTGTCGCGAGGGACGCTTCAGAGAGGCGGTTTGGAAAGGAGGTGTAGTTGTGGACTGGGACGGCTGTTGTTTTGATGTGTTGGAGGCCTGGGATGGAGGGGAATGTGAAGGTTGAAGGGTCGCATTTTGGGGATGTGGATGCCGAGGTTGGGCTTGTGAGGGCGGCGAGGGTGAGGAGTGTCGTCCCGAGGAGGCCTGGGGAATTCGGTGGTTTAGAAAACATGATGTGCTCAAAGTGTATCAGTGTTGTCGTTGAACGAAGATGAAGTGTCCTACAAAGGGGGGGTAAGACTAGTTTCCGTACTTCTTAACAGACAGAACCAGAGGACACTACCCGGTGAGTCGGTAATAAATACTCATCCCATCCATCGACCCCGTTCGTCTCTTGTAACATTGTGGATACCAAAGTGTCAAGCTAACGACTCCGTTCTCCAGGCTACAAGTCTTCAACTCTTCCCCGCCCTCCTCTTCTTCCCCCGCGTTGTTACCGGGCTCAGACTGGGGAACTACCAGTAACCGCTCCGCCCGACTCCCGGATATCTCGAAACAGATCATAGGACGAATTTCCTCAAAGCAAAAGGAGCTCGTGTCCCATATCTGGCCTCGTCGGCGACCTGGAAAACCTACTCGAAAATAACGTGCAGTCGTCGATTGCCAACACTTGGTCTTTTCCTTGTAACTTACTTACCTACTCAGTTTGTATACTACTGAAAGAAAACCAAGAACAACGTCCAAAGTTCGCTCAAACTCCTCATTCGACGTGCCAATGATACCCCACGGACTCCCGGGGCCCGTCCAAACCCCGAACCTCAAAAGACACAGAAGTAATCAGAAAACAGCTTCAGTAACTCTATACAGGCGGGGGAGTGAGAAAGCGTTCGTACCGGCATAGAACCGGCATTTCCCAGCCCCGGTCCCTCAGATCCACCTCCCAACGGCCTGACCGCTGAAGAAAAAACTCGGCAGACACGATCGGCATTCCCCCGAACGAGCCGGGTTGCGACATATCCGCACCCCGTCCGTACACGGCCAACTTCAAAGACCATCCGTCATTGCTCCCCTAATCAAAGTGTGAACCCGGCGCAAATCCATCAATCCTGCCCCCCCGCGTCTCCCAATCTCTTGATCGCCGTCACTGAACTTGCTTCATTGGCTGGCGGCTGACAGACAAGCTGCAGCACCACTTACATGAACCACATCATCGTGCATAAAAAGGCTGGCCGTCCCTCGCCCTACTTTAGTACCCTTCCCCTCATCACAAGCAAACTCATGGGCCACATCATTCACCAGGAGAGAGAGTGAACAGTTTCCAGATAAGATAATCATTGAGAGCATGTGCGTCGTTATTCCTTCCGGTTGTACGCCTACAGACACATGTATACCGCCCGATCCTTGGTGATGGTCTTGAAACCATCGCTTCCAACTTTGTGAGCATCGACCAGGCTTCCCATAAAGCAAAGCCGCCAGTCGTTACCAAGCTCGGGTATCTCGTCCACACGCATATCCGCCAACCTTTGCCTCCGTTCCTTGGCCTGCTTCCATATACATGCGTGCAGGCCCACTGTCCTTCTGTCTCAACCGCCGAGAGAGCGACACATTACTATCCACCACTGAATCCATCATCCCGGAATGAGTGGGTATCTCATTGATCGTGAGCAAGCGTTACGGGGAATCAAAAACAAAGATAAGGAAATTCTACTTGCGAAATCGCTGCCAGAAAAGAAAAAAACCGTCAATGGTAAACCAAACCTGATGGCAAACTGAAAAGGAAACCGTAAATGTCGAAGCAGGATATCGAAATGAAAAGGAAAAATGAATAGAAAGAGAAAGTGGAAAAGTCGACCGTAATCCAGATGAGCTGAGATGAGGGTGGTGACACCCAGAGAGATAGGAAATCAATTTCAACGCTATGTATCAACGCCTGCCATAGATAAAATGCAGTTGCCCACCAACTTGATAGAAAACGGGATATCATGATAAGAAAGCGACTGTATGTCATGCAAAGACTGAAAGCTCTGCCGACATAGATTCCAAGTAAGGGAGAAGGAAATTCGTCAGTCGTGTTGCGTATATGTACCATCGCCTCTCGGGGCATGGTAAAAGGACTGTAAAGAGACGTATTGATGATTCACAAGAGTCTCAGTACGCAGTGGCAGTGGTTCCCTCGCTCGTGGCAACGGCCACCAGCGCCTCCAAACGTCTCAGAGGGTCAGGATTGCCGGGCTGTTGCTGCTGGGCTTGCTGCGGCTCAGGCTGTCGTCCCGGAAAACCAGCAAAGTGACCCATATTGGGATGGACCATGCGGTTGACATGGGGTCCACGAGGATCTTGGCTGGGCGCTTCCGGGCGAGGTCCGTGAACGTTGCTTCCCATAGGACCATGGTACCATCCGTGGCGTTTAGTGTCCCTATGTGCGAACGACGGCGCCGACATCGTGTGCTGATGGTTGCGAGTGAATGCACCCGAGTTGGCATACGAGGGCTGGTCGACCTCGAATCGCACAGTCGGCGGGTTCAAGCGAACCTGCTCTGCTTGTGCCTGCACTGCCTGGTTCACTTCGTTTGCCCACGCCCCGGCGCTATCGCGAGGAGGTGTCGTGTTGGAAGCAATGTCCAGTCTTGTCAGGCCCCGGTGCAAGCTCATATCCCATTGGGCCACATTCCGCCGTTCATCAGCGACAGCTTCGGTGCCGGGAAGCATGGGCCGGCGGTGACCGCCCTCCGCATCGACCATCATCGGCGACGGGATTCGTCTTGGGGGCGACACCTGTCTCGATGGCAGAGGGTCAAAGGATTCAATGCCAGGCAACCGAAGCGTCTGCTGAGGATTGGGCGCATTGGCGATGGGCGGCGCGGGATTCGGCTGAAGTTGACCGGGAGTGAGTACGTTGCTGAGGTGGCTGGTATTGGTGTTGAAGGTCCTCGTGTCAGGATGCCAAGTTCGCCTGCGCCAAGCCTCGTCTGCGTTAGACGAGGTCGAGTCCCTCCTGCCAGACCATGCTGATGTCGGCGTTGTCGGCGATGCCAGGTGGCTGCTGGGGGCGGGGGAGAAGGCTCCCATGTTGGAAGTATTGACAGGCCCATTGCCGTAGACAATTCTGTTGACCGGTGCGCCGTGCGGTGACTGAAAAGGATTGACGCCGGAGGGCACGCTGAGTCGCCGGCCCGGAGTCCGGGAGCCAGAAGAGTACATGCTGTGAGATCGGGAGTGCGTGGTAGTAGGAGAAGCGATTGTCGAACCCCATCGCGGACTGCTTTGACCGGTAGAGAATGTCGCTGACGTCGGTGTGCTGTAGTCAGTTGGCGAGACAGGGCGATAGCCGTATGGACCGTCTCCGGCACTTCGGTACGATTCGAGTGACAGGCGGGAGCGGGGGTCGCTTGCCATAACGAGAGGCGGCGGGCGTCGTCGAATGTCGTCTCGAGATCCAAAAGCTGACCCGATAGAGCCCACGCTGGCGATGCTGGATGTCGAGAGCGACTTGGAGTGACCCCTGACGGGACCAGGCGCGCTGCCAGCTGTTGATGCGCGAGCCCTGCCGCCCTGCTGACGCACACGCTCAGTGCGCATCTGCCTCTGGAACCTAGCACCAGTCGCTGCCAAGGAATCTATGGGGATATCCTCGTTGACGTGCACCGTCTGTGCGTGTTGTCGCAGGTTATCGAGACGGGAGAAACGGCGCGAGCAGTGACACTGGAATGGTCTCTCGCCGGTGTGTTTCCTGGGACGGTTAGCAAAGACCGTCATCTATGGGGACGATAGAGAGCCTACCGAATGTGCCTGGCCAAATGTTCGCTTCGGGTAAAACTCAAGTTGCAGGGCGGGTAATCCGTGCAATAAAATCGCTGTGACTTCTTCTTCTTGTTGGATCTGGTACCATCGGCATTCACACTGTCGTCGTCAGATCCCTCTTCACCTTCGCCGTCGGACTCGTCCATGTCCACATCCTCCGAGTCCCTTGATCTCCTTGAGTGTTGTGAGTTTGCTCTTGTCGGGGTCTTGACCTTCTCGGCACTCTCGGGAACCTGAACAGCCTGGGGAAATGGCGAGCTTGGCAAAGGCTTCTGGGATGCCAGACCAGTAGTGCCACTGCCACTGCTGAAAGTTGCTTTCGTGGGCGTCTTCACGTCCTCGGCCATGGGCTGTGGTGTCCGCGGGAGCGGTGCAGTGGTTGGCTTCGGTGTGGTTGGTGACGTCGTCATCATCTTGTCGTCCATCTTTACATCGGCACCAGGTAATGGCGAATTTACTGGTCTAAATGCAGCGGCCATGTTCAAACTGTGCTGTGATTCAGGATAAGCGGGCGTCGAGGAGGACAGCCTGGTGAATTCCTCTCGCTGTGGAGGAGAAAGTGCAGACGCAGGCTCGCGAGGCCGAGTCGAGCACAAAAGGAACACAGGTGCGGGGAGTGCAGGCTGCGGAAGGTAGTATTTGAGTATGATTTGAGCCGGGAGGAGAGCGGGCTGAAGAAGGGCGGGGAAAGGGCGGAATGAGAGGGGGTAAAGGGAAGAAGAAAGAAGAAAAAATGTCCCGAATCTGAATCAAGTCATCCGAGAAGTTGCTGTCTGGTTTCGAACTCTTTGGATGTCTCTCCGTTCCAAGTATGCGTAGAGGAAGAGGAGGAAGAGGTGATGGTGGTGGTGGTGGCGGCGGCAGCAACGGGCTTTGAAAGGGCGACAAAGGTGTCGTGAGCCGGATGTGTGTAGAGATGAGAGTCGTGGAGCGCCGATGGAAGTGCGACCGACGTCGATGATCTATTCCCCCCGGGCCTGGGAGAGTGGGGTGGTCTGCTGGAACAAGGTGCAAGGCCGGTTTGGTAGCGGTAGCGCGGTTGAGGACGGATACCGACTGCGTATTTCGTAGTATAACGGAGCAGAGTGGAGGACGAAGAGAAGAGAGACAAGTTGGTACGGAGACAGCAAGGCGAGGGGCAGGCGGCTCTAGAAAAGGACCTGCCAGGGGAGTGTGGCGATGAATGGTCGATGATGAAAGACGTGCCCTGATCTGACCCTGCTGGCTGCAGTAAAGTGGTTCTCAGTGGTTCCTCGCTGACTTTTCTTCCCCCTGCCTCCGGCTTTACGCCTGCTTGCGTTCGTTCGAGTCTAGCGACAGGTAGTGTCGAGAGCTGGGCGGAGTTTGTCTAAGATGGGTTGGAGGAGCCAACCAACCAGCCTCCTCTTGGGGGTGTGCGTCGTGTGCGTCTTGGGGGATCCGGCGCACCAAGTCGGCGAATTTGGGTGGGAGTGTCTGTGGGCTATCGCAGAACCAATGTAGTCCGGTCCAATGCCAATCAAGATCCGAGTTGACGGGTTTGCAAGCTGGGTGCCCTGCGTTTTAGTAGACGATTTCGTAGGTTGCTGACTTGCAGTATCCGTGTAGACCGAATATCAGCTCAAGTACCGAGCGTTATAGAGCAGGCTGTGGTGGTCCTGATTCTTGGAGGGAGCGGGCTGAAAGGCACAAAAGAGTCTTCTTTGGCGATATGTTAAATTTCAAAGCCCAGGCAATTCTCTGTGCACCGGAACTTGCTGGGAACGATAGAGAGGGGGAGAAAGGAATAAAGCATATGGTCTGTAGTGAGGGCGAGGGAGTAGTTGATGATGGTCACAGCACACGGAAGCGCTGGCGGTACTCGTGTACGAGAAAGAGTTGGTGGACCCAAGGCAGGCCAGGTCCAGGGCCAGGGCCGGACGCCAGGGTCAGGGTCAGAACCAGGACCTGGCGGCGGTAGTGGTATTGGTGGAGTCGATTGGCGGGAGGTACAAGGGGTACATGAAAGTCAGACGGCTTGGTGTGAGATCCCAGTCAGCCGGGCGGTTGGGAGGGGGTCAAGGTCGAGGTCGAGGTCGATGTCCCAGGACTAGGACGGACTAGAGACGGACGGGAGGCGAGAGTGGCCGGAACGGTGGGAAATGGGGCTTGCTCATCCGTCTGCGGGCGGGAAAACGCCTTGAGTAAACTGGCAGTCGATGGTCTCTGACGGGCGCGTGAGAAACGGAGGACAGTGTCGAGCGAGGTGTAGGCGACGGCCAGCCCAAGTCGCTAAGGTAGCGGGGCACGAGAAGCGACGAGGCGTCTGCGAGAGGGAGGAGAACGTGGTGACTCCAGCGCCGGGCCACCACCAGGGCGAGAGGGCACACGGGGAGGTTGGTTGGCGGAGTTGCTGTGACGGCGTGGCCAGTGCCAGACAGGGCAGTGGGCCAGACGTAAGGTACCGATTATGGCTGGCTGGCTGGCTGTCTTGATCGAGTGCAGGCACACAAGCAGAGACGGGAGACGCAATGCGAATGGTGGTCTTGGAAAAAATTGTCCGTGGGTTCGAGGGTTTGCCAGGAACAAAGGATGAAAGGTCGAGGCACCGCAGGGGATTGGTGGCCAGGTTGGGAACTCGGAGGGGTTTGTTGACGGGTGCGAGTTGCGAGGTTGACGAGGTCAAAGTCAAAAAGGACGGCGGCCAAGCCAGTCTGTGAGGTAAGGGACCTGGCCCGAGGTTGCGATGCGCCGATGTAATACTCCGTATTTGGAGTTTGATGCCGCCGTTGTTGGTGGTGATGCTTTTGCGGGTGCTGGTGGATGATACGCCAGGCAGTGGATTCCCGTCCTGTGGATTACGCTGTAGCGTAGCCGTACAGCAAGGTACCGTACCGTCGAGAACCTTGCCCTGCCTGTGCTGTTGGCAGCTGGACCTTTTGACTTTGGCGGCGTTTTCCTTGTCGATGCGCTGTGCTGCTACCCTACGCAGGGGTAGGCGGCAGAGTAGGCGGGGACAAAGTTGGACGGATACGGACGCAAAAGGGATAAACGGCAGGATGCATTCGGTGCCACGATGGGCGAGTGCGTGGATGCGTGAATGCTTGGCCTCCGAGGCACGGCTACTTGGTGTATGGAGTAGAATGTAGGTATTCGACTAGGGTGGTGTGGTGCTGTATCGGTAATAGTGTCGTGTATAGAAGGTATCCGTAGAAAGTGGTCTTGAAAGATGTGGATGCGACAACGAGCGGTGGGAGGTTGGTAACGGAAGCTGAAAAGTGTCACTGGGCGAGATATCATGGATATCCGTGTAAGAGTGTCAAATGTGATGGACGGTACGGAGTATTGATGATGTTGTAAAAAGTGTGCGTGCCGGCAGTCGGGATTGGGGGGCTCGGCTCGGCGTCGTCAATGTGTTGGTTGGGTGTGTATTTCTTCCAGCGGTAAGCTGGTAATAATGGATGACTCGATATGTCGATGGATGGAGAGAGAGCAATTAAGGTAAGGCAACGTAAGTATCCAAGAATCCCTCAAGTAGAGAGGGTCGAGTCTGGAAGAGATGATGTGCTGTGCCTGTGTGTGGCTTTCCACGGCGGAGGTGGAGGGATGAGCGAGGGGAGCCATGGGCAAATTGACCGGCGGCGAGGGAGGGGCGGCGATAAGGATAAGCGGATAAGGCGATAAGGTAAAGGTACAAGCCAAGGCCCTGTGATGCGACAAATGGAAGGCACAGCCCGAACTTTGCGCGGGCTGACGACGGGCAGGAACTCAAGAAGGCACAACCAAACTTACAAGGTTCATATGGGAGGGGCGAGGTCACTTACTGCCCGTGTACGCAGTACGTAGTAAGGTAGTTCAGTGAAAAGTCAGTTTGGTCAGGTCCAGGTCAGGTACGGACGGCACGGCAGCAACAAACAGGGAAGGATGACTCTGGCAATGACATGCAGCCTCGATCCATCCGCGCCTTCCACAATGCGCAGTCATAGGTATGTACTCTGTAAAAGTGTCTCACCAATACGTATAATGTAGTAGGTATAAGGCACCCGTACCTCTCTCCGTTACATCACGTAGAAAACAGTCAGGAACAAGACGAAAAGGTAGTTTTACTTGAGGCAGCCACTTGCTGTACCTGAGGCACTTTACGGTTTACCCGACCTGACCTGCCTTACTTCCGTGCCTTAGCTGATGCACCAAGACGGGTCCAACACGATGTTCCTGAAGAAGGCACGCCGCAAGCCGCGCGCCGCACGTTGGGACCAGGTGCGGTGCCTGGCCCTGACTCAATGTTCCTTCCTCACGGTAAGGTACGGAGTACGTGGAAAAATGAGTGGTCGGTGCAGATGGTCAACGCAGGAAGGAGGCAGGCAGGAGAACGAGACGGGATTGGAAACAAGAGGCGCCTTCCCAGCCTGGCCGGACTTGAAAATCCATCACACCCGTTCCGTTGCGCTTACCTGACTGACCCGGAGTCCATTGTCTAAGGTGTCGGCGGTCGCAACTCACAAGTTCCCTTTTCGACGGCGGGATGATGTGTCGCATGTACCCCTTGGCCGTGTCTGCCATGAAAAAGGCACACGGACTGTGCCCCTCACCCCTCCCCCCCCCCCTCCATCACCCCGCCCCTCTTCTTTTTTTTTCCCCTGCTGCACCATGCGAGGGGTTGGGTGCGCCCTGAGTGGCCGCCTTCTCTTTTTTCTCTCTCTCTTCTCAGGTAAGCACCTCAACTTTTGTTCGCACCTTCGCTTCCTCAGGTCTTAATAGCCACCACTAACAGCCTAGCGTCGCCTTAGCCCAGGCACCTCAGAGTGGGAACCAGGTGTTGGCGTCTGGCGTCTGTGACCTTCAACTCTCAACTCTTTCCTCTCCCACCAGTGCCACCCCCGTCTCCCGTGCCTGTCCCTGGCCGTGGCCCTGTCAACGTCTTCCAGGCTTCCCAAAGCCCAGGGCAGGGGCCTTCCTTTCTATAAAAAGCCATGGCCAAGAGGGGAAAGACTCACGGGGCCTGTGCGCTCAGTCCGTCGCCCGTCACCCGCCAAGCGAGAATCCACCCCGCAATCGAGGCGCCGCCGTTCCGTCTTCAACCTGAGGTGGACCTGGAAGGCGCGATGTGCTAAGGCTTCTTGGCAGAGACAGATATCCCTTGGTACCGATATACGCCTTACATATATATGCCTTTCTACAAGGCTCACAAGGCTTGCGATGCTTAATCGAGGATATATGTGCGTCGCTATGTGTCTCGTCAAGTATCCGGACGATAAGCAAAACCACTTAGTCAACCACGTCAAGGTAACAGGTGTAGTGGTAGAGCGGAACCCCTCATTCCAGGTAAACGAGCCGCGAACGACGACACGGACCAAGACGGGCGATTTTCTCAACGGGAGACCGGGACAGCACGGCGTGCCGGAGGCGACAACCAGGCATGTGCCAGTCCTCAACCCCGGCCCATTCGACCTTACTGCGTTCCCTCCCTTCCGTCGCTTCCGTTTCGCAGGCATCAGCTAAGGTGAGGTACACGGGTGCAGATGCAGATAGTGGTTGTTCCGTCTTAGGTCGAGTTCTGTGTTAAAGATGGTATCTTGCCGAACCGTAGGTCGCATGATGATAGACACAAGCCACGGGAAGCATATTGATTAGATGTGTCTGGCCGAGTAATGTCACCGGGCGAGAATGTGCATCTTATTCGTGCCGTCGTGGCGCACCACACGTGTCTACCTTACCTTCGTACCTTGTTTCTTGGACCTGCCTTACCTCGACTAAGCCAAGGTACTACTTTTCAATATCTTATGACACTCCATTCGTGGTACCTGTTGATACGTTCTTCTCAGTCCTGCCTCGCGTCCCTCACAAGTACCCTCGTCCATGTTCTCCCGCCGGCGATCGACTGTTGAAGAAGGTCCCGGCTAAGGAGGAGCCAGCTACGGGGCACTCTGAGCTTGTGCCTGCCTTACCTTTTCATCATAAGGCCGGCACGACGGGAACGTGACATGGCAGATCAGGAACAGGAACAGGCAGGCGATGCTAAAACTGAGTGGGGCCGGACTCCACGAGTCTGATCAATGGAGATGAAGGACCAGGCACGGTCACTCAGCGCCGGGAATGAACCGACATCGTCGCTTCCACTGCTGGTGTTTCTTTCTTGCCCGACGTAAATTGTTGCTCATCAAGGTGCTGCATCTGTCTCTGTTTGGTTCCATTTCCATCTTGCATTTTCCACCTTATGTAAGGTAAGGTACCTGAATGTACTTTATTCCAAGGGAAGGTAATCACCCAGTCATCCAAATTCTCCAGCAGTTTGGACTCTCCCTTTTCGTCTCAGACTGACAGCCGAGAATTCCGCATGCCCGGCCGTTGCCCACGTTGTCTCCTTCCCTGTTGTGTCCTCTCCTCCGTACCTCCGTACCGCCCGCCGTACCTCCGTACCGCCCGCCGTACCTCCGTACCGCCCGCCGTACCTCCGTACCCATCTGCCATTTGCCATCTGCCAACGTCCATTCCGCATCTGCCGTCTGTCACCACCCACCATCAACCACCACCCACCACCACCACAACCTCCATCCTCAACATCTTCAGCTCCGTCTCGGCAGCGATTTTTCCATTCCAGCCGGACCAACATCCTGAGACGCATCGAATTCCTCCAGCTCTACCCAAGCTACCCCGTACACCACGAATACCTACCAATAGTCTCTGATCCCTGACTATCGACACGACTGCCTTACCTCCTTCAACTTCCTTCGCGGCTTCGTCTTGGTTCAAGGGATGCCGCACGCCAGACGCACGCCAACCCACCAGCCCACTCACACTCGCGTACTTTTTCTCTGTTGGCACACCCTCGCAACCCTCTCACCGGACCCTTCCCTTGGATGGACACCACCACCAGACCAGACCGCCTGGCTAGGAGAAGGACGGGAGTGACGGGCTTTTCAACTCTCGCCAATCATGTTGGCATCATAGCGACAATGGAGCATCGCCACACAATACTTTCTGTGGTTCTCTTGCGAGCCCCTCGTCTGAGAGACCGAGACCAGGCACTCGTTCTCGACCTCAGCCATCAAGGGCGGCCCTCCCTTGCCCGGCCACAGTCGAGCTCGGTGTGACCCAGGCCCTAACACCGACCAGGTCCAACCCCGGACGAACACCATCAAAAAACACAAAAGTCGCTGCCGTCACATCTCATCACCACCACCCGATAGGATCCGTACTCGTCCCGTGACAACCATCCCGTAGGTAGCCACCGTGGGAGCTGCGTACCCCTGTACCTGAATCTAGCCTCGAGATGTCTACCCGGATTCAATTATCGAAGAAGCCATCGTCAATCGGAAATCCACGCCGAATGCTCATTCATCCTTGAGACGATGCCAGCAATTTCGACACAAAATGCATACACGCCAAGGAAACACTGCTGAGAATCTCCTCTTGGCTCTTTGAAATGAACTACTCTTTGCGAGGTATTGTCCCTCTAGCTCAATCGCATTCGCGATCTCCGGGCGGGAGTTACAGTCCGGCAGATGAAAGCCGGTCGTTATCCAGCTTCCCCACCATCTCGTCAACATCGCATTCAACATGGCACTGCCACGGTACAACAATCGATCCGACGTTTACAGCCAACGACAAACTTGGCCCCGAATGTTTCGGACTCGAACACAACGCCAGCTTACCGAGTCGCGGTCCTGCGCCAGACGTGTGCGCGGCAATCAATCACCGACATAATCCTCGCCTTGCGGTCTGGAATGATTCAGTCGCCCTCATCGCCAGCTCGCATCACCCACACAGGAGCGTCTTCCTAGCAGCCATGTTCCGGCTACTGGTGCACTTCGATTTTCGCTCGTCGCGAAGATACATTTGCCTGCCAACCTGCTATTTGTTTATCAGCCAGACAGAATAGGCAGCTCGCCCTTCTGCGATACGCACGCACAAACTCCAGCCGCATTCTCCACGATGTGCTTCAGCACCCTTCGTGCCTGCATACCTGCATTCACAGGACGTACCACAGCACGCTCGGGATGGGTGGAAACCTGCCGATACCCTACGTTACTGCCCCGCACTTGACCGAACGCGGGGGGCTGGCCACCCAGCCCTGGTCCTGGACTGCTAGGCGATGGCCGCAGGGACACCACGACGCTGATTCTTATGCCCTATCTTCTAGAGTAAGGCTGGCGCCGCTCGCTGGCCAGAGGGGGCGTGGAGGGCAAGGATGCCCGCCGATCTTCACTGACAGATCGCAGAATTCCTCACCATGCCGCTCCACCGACGCTGCTGAAGATCACCAAGACCCTATGTCATCATGCGCGACGCTTAAGAATTCTTTACCAAGCCGCCATTGAACTCGTCGCCCCTATCATTTCAAGGGCTGAATCGTCGTCCTCGCTGGACAGGTAGATCAGCACTGACCGTTTTCTTTCAAAGTCGAGATGTTGTCCGGAAATCCTACAATATTTGGCTCGTTGTCGGCTTCGTTGATTAGATTACTTTGGCGGATCTCCAAGCGCCCATCAATGCTGGACAACTCAGCACTCCTCATTCGTCACCGGGCATATCGCTCACCTTCCCTCTGTCGTCCTGTTCATCAATCGCACCGACAATTTAGAATTGCATAGATGACTCTCACGACGTTGCGTCTGCTTATCTGCGCTGCGCTGCGCCGCCAACCGCTGCATCAGCTCACAGCCACCGTAAAGTGTCGCATAGCACGACGTTGATTTTCAATGTTCGACGGTGTCAAACAACCGATAGAGGGTCCAGTAAATGTCTGATCCGACTGATCAGGTGATGCCGACCTCGTCTCCCAGTTGGCCCAGAGTGACGGCCATGAACGAAGTATCTGCGTCAATCTGAACGGCCCAGCTCAGGTCAGCCAATGCGTGGCAGCCCCCACCAAATGATCCTGGCTCCTGGCCGTCCATACTCACTGCTCGGAGAATGAGGAATTTTAGACTCTGCGCGGATGAAACAATGCATCGGAATCCCCGCCCCTTGGCTTCGCGTGTCAACGGCCTGCTGGGAAGATGCCGGCACGTAGCCAGCCTAGCGCCTGGCTACTACTGCCTGTCAGCGGAAACAATGGGCGGGCAAGCATCGGATCGCTGATCAGAACTCAGGGCGAGATCCCGCCCGCTCTTCCAAGGACGCAAGCTTGGAGCCGCTGTGATTGGAATGCATCGAGCGACGGGTCACTGGCGCCAACATGAGTCTGCAGCTGGGACTCGAGCAAGGCGTCTCCTTGTACCATTATCATCGAGCTCTGCAGAGTACATACTGAGATTCTTTATCCCGCGGCGTTGTTTGGTCAACAATCGCAGCCACCCCTCCGCATCCAACACAGGATCAGCGACTATAGATTGACGGGTTGATAATGGGGGATGACGAGAGCGTTGGGCAATCTGACCTGTCTCCCACTCACACCTCGCAGTCCCCCTCACGAGGACACACCTTGGCTCGTTTCAAACAAAGTGCAGAAGACAGCAGTAGGCGCTGATGCATGCGAATCGACGAGGGAGGGGGATGGGATGCCCGGAGGATCGCTGTGACTACCTACGGATACACAGTAGACGGGATACCGTTTTGGGAGACGCGCGTGGAAGCCTGCAGCCATATGCAGGTCGCTTTACTCGAAGTCTCGAACCGTACCTGGAATTGGCATTGGCACCCGCACTGCTCTCACGCTGCTGCGAGTGTTGTGCTTTGGCCCGACTAGGACAATCTGCATATCCGTTCTCGACTGCGACCCTGTTCATGCAGCTCGGATCCTCGGTGTGGTTCTGGTCGGTGGTAGTTTGCATATCTGTACAGCTTCAGCAACCATAAACTCGAATCGTTACAGTCCCTGAGACCAAGCCTGGATTTCGAGTTGTTCTACGGAGCCTCAGCAAACTACTACGAAACCCGGCAGCCCGTCCAGTCGAGACAAAGATGCTGCTCCAGCACCTGCCTGCCAAGTATGTCGAGTGCCGGAAGCCATGGGGAAGACGCGAGACCTTTTGTCACAGCCACTTGGCTCCCAATTCCCCCCGAAAGCATCCAGTGGCTCAGGGGTGCTTTCTGCCAGCTGAACGCGACCAGCCACGTCTGTCCCCAAAAGTCTATCAAAGTGACCGCTCGCTTGGATCTCACCGCCCAAGGTCTAAGACATGGCCGAACCTGTGATCCAGGCAAGGGAGCTGCCGTAGCCACGGGGTTGAATCAACTTTGTGCGACATTCTACGCCACATTGTGCTCCAGGCACAGGATGGGAGAGTCTTTGGGAACGACACGCAAGAATTCTGTTATCGCGTTGGCAGGCTTGCACGCCTGAAGCTTGGATCCCTGCAGACATCGTGACGGTCGTGGGGTTCGTGCTGGTTCGCGAACAAACTAGTCCAAGACTACTTGTCTCACGCATCTTCCTCGCAACCGCAACTAGGGCCAGACCACCTGTGAGGAGTATGTGAAAATCAAGGACTGGATTCTCGCCGCAGCGGTGTATGCTTTACTGAGGCTTGCCCAACGAACTCCATGCTGCGTGATATCCTAAATCAGCGTCCACGCTTGCAGTTACCGGTGATTATCACAGATCAGTGTCTGCTCCACAGCTGATTCATCCCCACCAGAATTACCTGTCGATGCTTCGTGTCAACTGCCCCGCGTTGGCTGCTGAATGCCCACTTGCAATCGCGATACATACTCAGTACAGCAAAGGCGATCAATGCTCGTCCTTGCACTAGGTTGACTTGATATAGGCACGGAACACGGATAGTCCACACCGTCTTGTTGGCCAGGGCGAAAGGCGAGACCAGCGGCGAGCGAGAGACAACAATGTTGTCCATGATCGTTCGCCCCATGCAGATCTAGAGGTTGCGAGAGACGCTGCACGCCGCCTTGGCTTGGTCATTTATCAAGCTAGGCCCATCCCTGAGGACAGAGTCTTTTTTTTTTTCCCTCATTCTGGCGTGTCTGGTCAAGAGTCAAGGCGCTTCGGGCCACATTCCAACAAACCTGTCTTTTGTTACCGGCGTAGTGTCACTCTCACCGCTCTTTTACAAGGGTTTACCTCGGTGTCTGAGCAACTGCACCAACGCGGCCCCCGACGATGGATGAAGCCTCTCTCTCCTACGCAGACATCCCTCGAGTCTCGACTTCCTCCCACATACAACGACTTACGGCCGACCGGCTCACGCCATGCACCGTTTTCTCTCCGTATTGACGCTGGAAGACCGTCGCTGGCCAGCTGGGCTAAAAGTGTACAACGAGACGCATGAATAGCGTCATGCATGCGCACGCAGTAGCCTGCGAGCTGTCCCCAGTGCGGCGCACAACATGCAGACGTGCATGGGCTCGCATCCGAAGACACTGCTATCCGTAGAGCAGTTTACCTCTCTAGTCAGAGTAGCTAGAGTATTCCCTCCCCTTGGAAGCACTACAGTCTTGCTCAACAGACCTTGTTGGCCGGTGCCTCTCACCACGAGAATCCGCGAGATCATAGTCTCCATCATTCGGCTACCTGCGCATGTCGCAGGAACTCCCCTGTCGTGACATGCAGCCAACGCATGCGCTGAGAGACGGCCGTGGCTGCGCTGGCTGACATGTTTCGTTTCGAACACACATGCCAACGCTGCTGATGAGGACTGATATTGATGTGTGAGTGGGCGGTTTTGCCCTCCGCTACAGCTAACAGTCCATGCAGTCATCCTTCACCCGCCGACCGACCTACCCACCGATCTATTTCATGACCATGGCCAGGCATAAACCTCCGGCGCGCCCCTAGTGCGTCCATCGCCCGGGTGAAGTCGTTGGTCGGGACCGAAGGGGGCGTCGACCTGCATCTTACCTTATCTTTCCGTGAGGTATTAGACTATGAGTCTATGAGAGAAGCAATAGGCGTCTTGCGCCAGCAGGTCTTTTCCAGGCACGAGGCACAAAGCCGCCTGCATCGCCAACACCCGGTCCCGTTGCTTTTTCTCGCTCATGCTCCTGGTTCCTGGTCTCACGGTCCCTTCCCACCCCCTCTGCGGCTAGCTACGTTGTTGGTTTTCTTATTCTTCTCCGCATCGACTGAGATCTGTTCCTGGGTTATCTGGCTGCTGTCATTGGATGAACGAGTTCTGCCGTTGCTTTGACCTCCCATCGGGTGACAGATGGATGGTGTTAGATTCGGACTCTTGATGGGATGGCGGCTGACGAGTCATGGGCTCAAGCTTCACATGCGGCTGGGTACAACTGTTTGGCACTCTGAGTCTAGGCCTGCTCAGTTCACATGCTGTCGCTGAGTAGAGGGATTTACATCAGGGTGCAAACTTTCCGCGGGGTGGCAAATGAAGACGTGGAATATTCGTCGTTCGAATTGAAGCTTTGGTGACTCGTCCGAGCACACGCACTCTCTTGACGAACGACATGAGCGGTTTCTCTCGCCGCCAGGAGCTGATTTACTCAGCAGCTTGATCCGACCACTGATGAGGCCATCCCTTCAATACTGGGCAGTGCACACATCCCATCCGAAGATGCTTTGTCCTAACAGGGGCACAGTGGCTAGAAGGACACTTTTGGAATCGGAAACCGAGATGCTCGTCCCGATCTGACGCGGTACCCGCCCCCACCGGTGTTGATGCGAGACTGGTTACCCCAAGTTCACGATGTGAGCTATGTGTGACTTGACCTCGGTCGACGATAACATTGCGATACGACAAATCTGGGGAGACGACCTGTCAGATGGGACAGGATGCGGCTGCCCGGCATGCAGATGGAGGCTGCTGTCGGTTCCCGAGAAGGCAACGGGTAGGTGAGGTTCGGCCTGGCCAGAGTTCAAGGATATACAGGGTACATTGCGACGTTTCCCTCGATATCTTGTACAGTGAGAATAAAGCGGCCAAGCTTGCTGCAAAGCATTGTCTCCCGGCCAGCTACCGTGCACGGGGCGAGATTTCTTCTCTGAGCTTCTTGCGCTATGTGGGATTCCAGAGAGTTCCCGATGGAGATGTGTTCTGTCTTTGAACGAAGCGAACGAAAATCAGACACTAAGCGTCGTCCATCAAACATGAGGAGAGAAGTCCTATCATTATGTTCCAAATAGAGAACTCGGCTCTGGCCTGGCAATAGCCGTATTCTTCGTCCCAGGTACAGGATGGGCGAGGGTTCGCGACGAGCTTCCTCTCGGAAGTCGAGGACGCCATGGAAGGTGTCATCAATGACTGAAATGCAGACAGTGAGAGCCACATCACGAGTACCGATTGAGAGGCATGAAATTGAAAATTATTTTACCATTATATTTTGAACAATAACTTGGCGCTGGTCAAGGGATATCTAGGCTCTATATCCCAGATACTAGATCTTCCAAATGCCAGCGACAAATATACACAAATTACATTCTCTTGAATAATCATCATACCTCGTGAGCTTTATAGATTCCAATATCCCATCCTATATGGGGGGGCCTCCCAATCAAATATCCAACATACTCTTCACCTGCTGCGGCTGCTGCGTCATGGACACGGCGGTACTCGCGCTGTGACTCCTCTCCCCCGGCCCATGGGCCGTCGAGCCACTATCCGGCGTCCGTCCCCGTCCCGCGCCGAGACCTCCGCTCCCGCTCCCGCTCTGAGCGTCGGTGTAGGACGGCGGCGGCGGGCCGTCTTGCATCAGTTCCGCGGAACGGTCGACACGAGGTCCGGCGCCGGGGAAGAGAAGTTCCGCGGCGGCGTTCATCGCCCTCTCGTTCCTCCGGCGGTCTGATTTACCAGTGTAAGAAGTAAACGTCGACGGATCCGCCGCGTCAAAGCCAGGTCGTAGAGACCCGTGCATGGAATTCGGTCTCGATGAGCGCCCGTTGAAGCTGCCCATCTCAATCTCTCGTTCCGCGGCAGCCTGCTGCTGCTCCTGTTCGGCCGCGCGTGCCTCGAGCGTCTCGTCTATGCCGCGGCCCGTGGCGCAGCCACCGCCTAGTTCGCGGACGTTGCGGGCGATGCGCTCGCGCATGCTCATCTGGCCGACGAGGTGGTCGTCGTTCTTTGCGCGGCGCCACCAAGCGGGCTTAGGCACGTATCCCATCTCCCGATCGATTTGCGTCCCGCGCTCGCGGCGCTGGCGGATGAGTTCCTTGTCTTCGTTGGGGGAGGTGAAGCCATATGCGATTTGCGTGTAGAGGATCAGCAAGGCGGGACCGTATCCTCCCGCATAGACGGCCGCCAGGCTGGCCTTTGCGTTCAATACAGAGTAGGCAAAGTTCCAGGAGACGAGACCCTGGTAGGCGATGAGGCAGGCCGTCAGGGGCAGGATGAGGAGGAAGCGCCAGGGGGTGTAGCGGAGGAGGCCGGCGAATTTGTTGAAGGGTCCGCGGTTGCGGGGGTAGTAGTGTTTTATGGAGTGGCGGAGGGAGGCGAGGATGGTGAGGAAGCAGACTACGAGGCAGAAGGTTGCTGCTTTGAAGCGGGCGTCTGTTGCGGAGGGGGCGGCGCGGGCGGCGGTTTGGTCTGGGGAGCGTTGTTTTTCGATTTCGCCCCAGTTGCGGGGGACGATGAGGAAGAAGTTCTGGAGATAGTTCGTTAGGTTGTCAATGTTCTTGGGGCAACAGACTGGGGAGGGGACATACCAGCCAGAGCCATAGGTAGAACCACAATGGCATCCAGAACTCGAGCTTGCTTCGGCGGTCACCCTCGCGCAGGGAGAAGGGGTCCGGGTCGATGGCCTGTCTCTCGCTCCAGCTTCCCCAGTGACGAACGGCCTCCCATACGAGCGCAATGGTGAACATTTGCATGAGGTACCAGAAGAAGCTGTTGATGATGATGGGCAACCCAATGACGTAAAAGCGATCGACGTCGATATTGGTAAACAGGCTGATGAACGCCGACACGCAGACCAGGATCGCGTAGTACCACTGCCACCGGCGTCCAATGGGGTAGAACCGCTTCGTCGTCGGGAGGTAGTGCCGTCCGTGGCGGTTCAGGTTCGCGAGGACGAACATGAGGGCGAAGGCGTAGACTACGCCAAAGCCGACGCCGACGCCGGCGCGCTTGCCGATTGGGTTTACGGGGTCGTAGCACCATGTTGAGTTTTGGAAGGTGCCGTTGGGGAGGAGGTAGACCGGTGTGTAGGGCTGTTCTGTGACGTAGCAGTTTGAGCCGTTGGAGACGGTGCCGTTTGTGTAGAGGGTGTAGTTCCAGAAGCGGAGGACGGTGAGGTTGAAGTGGACGCCGCCGAGGATTGTGTCGGAGTCGTTTGCGCCTTGGGGGTAGGCGAGGAGGGCGCGGGAATGGAGCATGATGGGCGGTTGAGACGTTGTCGCCGTCGTCGTCGTCGTCGTCGTCGTCGTCGTCGTCTGATCGGGTTATTATCTCGAGGTTGTGATCGGACCTCGAGGTGTCGAGATGTTTTGGTCCGGGTCGTCCGGAGGTGTCGCTCGGGGGCGGGGCCTGTGGCCGGTGTTATTGTTTCCGTCGATCGGCCGTCGTCCAATGTTTGGTTTCGGTCGTTGGCGGGGAGGAATTGATCGATTGAGTGTGCGTGCTCTCGGCGAGAGGTTGGCGACGGTGATTAAGTTAGAGAGGGCATTGCGTCGAACAGGAGGAGGGCGGGGGAGAGGTGGGAAGTGTAAGAATAGGAAGCAGAGGAATTGGCGAGAAATGATGTATTATGACAATATGGTTCATGGAAGGCCCGGAAAGGCGGAGATGGGGGAGGGGATTTTTTTCAGTTAGGCGCGTTTTGTGGTCGAGTAGTCAGCGCATTGGCACGCTACCTTGGTGACCAACAACCAGTGACCGACCACCGACAGCGCAGTAGGTTGGTGATTGAGGTGCCGGGGATGGAACGCTACGGTACCCGCTACCCGCAGATCATTGATGACAGACTGCTTCTCCACTGGATTACTGGGTGCCGAAAGTGGTGCCAGACTGCAGTGGTGCTTGGTGTGGGAATGGGGAAGAGTTCGGGCGGCGGCGGGAAGAGATGGGAAACCGAGAGGAGCCAGACGGAATGGCCGGGAGCGGCGGGTTTGTGTTTTTTGTTTTCCCTCTTTTGGGATCGTCAGTGGAGATGCCGAAGCTCCGGGACCTAGAGGAAAACAGGTGAGTGAGCAGTGCAACTAGCTTGATCATGAGATTTTGATAGAGTGATTACTTACTGGGGATCCAGCGAGAATTCCTCTTTCAAGTTGCAAGACGGCAGTTGCTGTATATCGCGCAACATCTGGTCTGGAAGAAAATGCTTTTCGACCGAAGCTATCCGCGTATAATGAAGTTAGTGTACACGGCGTCATCGGTGAGTTCGAGAGAGAAATTGGCAGGTTAAACTTGTGGCTGGAAGAAACAAATTGCGGGGCGGCAGAAGTCGAAGTAGGTGTGGCTGACCTTTGCTGTCGCTGATGCTCTTGACTTATGTAAGGCGGGCCTTGACCGGGCAGTACGTACCGCCCCTCGACCGAGACAGGACAGCTGTAGCTTGAGCATCTCAATCAACAATTCCAGGAGCTCTCCCCTCCAAGCTCCCACGGCCAATCCCTCCAGGGCCACAACACAGACTCGCCAAAACGCATTGACTCCACGACAGTCAATGGCTCACATCTGCCCATCATGACGACCCGCGAAGAAGAAGACCCCTCCTACATCGACTATGAAGCCTTCCTCGATCCCGAGTTCAGCCCCTCCTCCTTCGCAAACACCCTCGTCCTCGCAACGAACAACCCCAACGATGCGCCCCTCGATCTCTCGACCCCTCTGTCCCGCGTGCTTTTCGATACTCAGGAGATTGACTCCCACATCGATGTCCTGACGACAAAGTCTGCAGCCCCTCTCCTGCAGTATACGAAAGAACAGACGACCTCCAGCAAGCGCATTATTTCAGAGCTCGACGCCCAGATCAAGAACCTCAACGACAGCTATAAGCAGCTCGAGAAGGAGGTCATTGATAAGCATGCCGAGGCTGAGGAGGTACGGCAGGTTGCTACACGCCTATGGGAGACGCTGAAGCTTGGCCGCTCCGTAGGACGATGTCTGCAGCTTGGGAGGCAGCTTGAGGTCCAGCACTCTGAGATCGCGGGGTCTAGCGTCAGTGCTGCCGCTGCCGCTGCTGGGAAGAAAGAGGACCACCGGGCGCTGGTACGGTGTTCGCATACAATTCTCTCGTTGCGAGAGGTGCTTGACAACACGGCGCCCGGAGAGGAAGGTTACGGTCTGGGAAAGGTTGATGCGATTCGAACTCTCCGAGAGTCTGTAATCACACCGGTTGAGAGATCTGTCAAGGAGACGGCAGAGAAGATTATCCGCGACTTTGCGATACCCAACTCGGCTACCTTTGCGCAGGGCGAGGAAGTCAAGGCGAGAACAGTATCTGCCATGGTCACGCTCTTCCTGCTCTCCCCGTCACCAACGCAAAAGACGGAACGATGGACGCCGCAGCTACTCCTGCAGAGCCTGGAGACATACTTCCGCTCGGCGCTACAGTCATCCATCGCCTCACTTTCCCGGTCGCTAGGCCAACTTCCCTCCCTCGAGCGCACCCTCGCCGAGATTTCGGCGCGTTGCCAAAACATCGTTGCCCTCGAGCTCGTACTGGAGTCGACAAAGTTGCCTGCGCACCCGCTTGTGTCGGCTCCGCAGAAGCAGACGAATATGCTGCAGCCTCTACTGGCGTACCTCGAGACGGGCAGTTTGCCGAGCTACTTCTGGCGGACGATGGCTGGAAACCTGGGCACGAGGGTACAGGAGATTGTGAATCGTGGTGGGGTGTCTGCGCGTACGCTGAGGTCCAATAGGGCGAGCGTCGGGGATGCTGTGAGGGAGTGTGTCGTTAGAGGGTGCCAAATGCCGAGTGCTCTTAAGGGAAAAGGAAGAGGGGAAGGTAATTGGGATCGGGAGGTCGCTGTTATGGTTGGCAGTGTTGTCAACAACCTCGGACGGTAGACCTGGTGGAAGTCATGAGGTTGAGTCACAGTCACCAAAAGAGGCTGAGCCTGAAACGCTGAATGCCTTCGATGGGGGCCTGAATAGAATATCAAGACGGGAGCCATAAATCCATGCTCGATGACCGCCGCGCAGCCATGGTTTCACCCTCTATCTTCCTGAATACCATGCATTTCTGTAGCGACCTAATCATGAACATCGGTGAGTTTGCCAACCATGATCATGCCAAGTACAGTGATTTAATTTAAGAGTGTCGCTACAAATAGGAAGACCAGGTATTTTTTTTTCTACCTCTGCTGGCTGCTCGGGCGGTTCTCGATATCGTTTACACGGTATTAATTCACAGTACCTAATCAGTGAATACTCTCACTGTCTCGTTAGACGGAGTACTAGGTATACTATCACAAAATGACATTGCCTGAAATATAAAATGTTGGCAAAGCCTGACTTAGGCGCACTCGATCTCTCAAACGCCATCCGACGTGGGCCGAAGGGATCGCATGTCAGTGACGAAAAAGAGGCAGCGCATCGCCCATGCACAGAGGTCGTACATTGTTACCGACATACGTCAGAAGAAGGAGCATCTGATCTGGAAGGGGCGAATCTGTTCCGACCCGTTCCCACGTCCGCCTGGTTTTATTCTGTCTAACGTGGATTTTGGGATCCTGCACAGTCACCAGCATCGTTGGCAGCGCTATTCGGCGCACGTCAAAGTACCTCAAGACTCATCAGGTACGGACTTGTGGGTGATGTTGCCTTCGGCCCTCAGCGATACAGTACAATTTGTTGCGACGAATGGATGAAGGACTCAAGGTCACACCGTGCAAGTAACTGAACACCATTCTGCACGCGCGTTTTTTCAGAAAACGGCCTCGTCCAATGATGTTACTATGATTCACCAAGAAGGTAGGGGTTAGTCAGTGGGTGGGGCGCGGACTTTGATGGAGGGTGGCTTCGGATGCAAGTCGCGGCCAATAGTTCTACGAAGACTGGGTGTAATGTAATGCAATAGTATTTTTCAGTTGCCATGAAGCTTTGGCATTCGCACTGGCTGTGACATGTACCGGGTGCTCTGGAGCCAGGCCGTCTTCGCGGATGTGCTGTGAGGCCTATAATAAGAGGGCACCCTGCAGCTCATGTAAGGCTCAATTCAAGTTCCAATTTCAATTGTAATTCCAATTTCCCGACTTTCAATGCAACTTCCACCAAGATGATAATTCCTGCTCTCGCCAGCCTAGAATTTCCCTCAGGCCGCTCATCAACTTCAACACTATACCGAATTTCACAATCGACATTATAATAATGCCAACACCTTCCCGTTCCTTTCCTCACGTACAGGCCTCCTGTTACGCCTCAACTCTCTACGCATCTGTGAAGATTACTTTGCTCGATAAGAACGTACGCAGTCGACATTGAGTATGAAATCTCAGTTTTCTCCCGCGCGTCAGACACTTCATTCTAACGTTCTGGCAGTTATTAAGCTGATAATTTAGCTATCGGATGCTCTGGGGAAACCCATAACTGCTTGGGCATCGCAACTTCAACAGTCTGTCCTCAGACCTGTCGCCGTCTCTTTTACGACGAACATCGTCTCGCTCCCAACAGTCAAAACTCAACAGCCTCGTTTTGCAAAGTCAACTCTATCGTGAGGTCGCACGAATATCTTGCTATGAGTTATGAGCGATACCCGATAGATCACCGCCGACAACCGACTTCAGGCCTGGTCCGACAGCCGAGAAGGCAATTGCCCGCGAACAGTCTCGTCGACGATGAGGCAACTCCGGTGCCGAGAAAGATTTGACGCCCAAATGACGCCTGGAGTTGGGCAGGAATGAGGCGCTCGACCCCTCACGAGGCGTCCAGAGGCCTCGCGCTGGGGCACCACGCAGTTGCTGACGCTGACGTTGACAAGGACTGCGATTGGGCCACGTAGGTCGTCACCCTCTGCACCCGCGCCCTTACTTCGACACCGAGAAATGACATGTCACCGAGAAAAACTTAGCCGAGACAACGAGACGACGAATCGGCACCCCTTCAGGCCATCCCGGAATAATGGTTCTGGTCAATCCCCGAGTCCTCGGAAAAGCTCCGGCAGTGAGCGGGACCTCCGTACTCCCCTATATCTTCAAGCTTCAACTCGTAACGTAGTATGCGATATTATGCACTTACTGTTCTTGCGCGGCGGTCCTGGAATCAATGATGAGGACATCGCCGCATGTCGGACCTTTCGTCTGGTCGATTGAGCATCAAGTGATGTTGAAGTTCGGAGTAACTGAACCTGAAAGAGTCGCACAAGCCCCAGACCCCGTTCAACCGGTCCGGAGCGGCGGGTCTCTGCCATGGCCGGACACGTCAACTCCGTCCGGAGGCGCCCTTCAACAGAGGGCCTGGGTCCTACTCTTTCATATCTCCTACTTATGTTCGTACTTGAGTCTCTTTTGCTCAAATATCCATCCCCTAGCTTTTTGTCATTTCATGTCGTCATCTCAACAGTTCACGAGTTATGAGGCATTGCCTCCCCAAGCATCCATGTTAGATTAAACATATCTCAATCCAGGGAGCTTGATGTCGCAAAGACCGAGACCGCTACTGGCGGGCAGCAATCGACGCTACATACACCCTTCGACACATCGCGACACATCAAAGTGATCAATCTCTCAGTGGATGCCCGATATTGCTCCTCCGGAACAAAGATATGTACGTTAAGGCCACCGGTCTTGTACATTGTGTCGTTCTTATACCGTAAATGCTCTTATCGAGGTCGCTCTCATAGGTAGCGAGTGACATGCCTGGTAGAAGTCGAATGAGACCAGGTACCCCGCCATGCTGGCCCATCTTCCCGTCCAGCTTGACCACTGCCACCCACACCATAATTTACATACTGAGGTGCATGTTGTCGCCTCAAAAAGTTGGATGCTAGCTGCAGGCAAGGCGTTCAACACAAAGGTCAAGAAACATCGAAATGAGGAATGATCTTTGCTCTCTCAGACGTTTCTTGGTGATATTTGGTCGTTCTAGGCAAACGTGCCTGGTTCGCCAGGCTCATGAGTATAAATAATAAAACCAGAGTGAATTATTCCGTTCATCGTTACCATGACATGCTGTAGCTAAGAGCTCATCTAGACCAGTCTGCCCCTTTGCGTCAGCTTGCGACTCCGGTAGGCCGCCCTTCGGTGCCTTGTTTCTGTAGCTGCTACAGCATCCTCTTGTTCTCCCACGCCCATCTACCAAGCTTTGCTTTCTACGCAACATGAAGTCTACAGATCCCCTCCATGACGGGTACCTTCTCCCCCGCTCTTCGACAAGACATGCTAGTAATTGTGCGCGACTTTCAATCAACTAACAGGACTGCCAACAGAAAGTTGTCAGCAAAATCCTCACACGTACACTCCAACTCGGAATCGGACAATACCCTCTCCCAGCACCGAATCTCCGAATATGTGAAGTCCTCCAGCCATAGCAACATGTATCACATCCACAACAACGGCACCAATGCGAATGCTCGCGAGGTCTATCATCAGAGCAGAACGGCTCAGACTTTGGCCGACTTCGTTGAGCACTTCGAGCAGCAGCCATAGAGACATTTCTAAGCGAACGAGTCTTCATCGAGGCGCAGAAAAGGCGGAAATAAGTGGAAATAGAAGAAAGAAGATGGGAAGAGATGACATACAGACAGCTCGAGTTCGACAATGCTGCACGACTCGCTCTTGCAGCTCTAGGCGGAGATACTTCTGTTAATTGAGGCGGTTGTCTATAATGTATCTAGCTTTGAGATTTTAGCAGGTGCTTGGTCACGAGATAATTTCATCGGTGTTTCCCATCAGCTCTTGTGCAAAAGCGTTGGCTGGTTATGTTTGCGATGCACCTCGCCATCGAGCATCCGTTCCTCCAAAAACTCATAAGCTCGAACAGCCGTCTAAGTTTAATCATCCTAGCATGATCCAGAGCCTCTCCCCTGGCAATCGGCAGAGAGCAAAGGCTTGAGGTTTTCTGTTGTCTGCGCTTTTGTTCCGTTTCGTATTTTGCTAGGCCGCATCTAGTTCAAGCTCTGTTTCCCATCATATTAGACATTCTCGATTGGAGTGAACCCACTGTGATGATGACCTTGTCTTCTGCCCATGCGTTGCTGACGTAAGGTAAGATCTTCCTTTTAGACACGAGGTTCTGTGATTGGCACAACCGGCACATATCTTGCAACTAGAGGTCAGGGAAATTTGAGTCAAGACAGCAATTGATGTCAGGGTCGAGAAATTCTTCATAGATTCACCCTAGGCTCATTTCACTCCATACAGTTACATCGCATGAACAACGAGGTTGCTAACTTGTTCCTTCGTAACGACTACCCTTTCAAATTCCACACCCTTCTCGTTCTAGCCGAAAAGAAGCATCTTAAAAGCTCTGATGCGATAAATCCATTACAAATGCCCTTCTTGTTCGTTAGAAGATACCAATTTCTAGCAGAAGCGGAGCTTACGCTAAATTGCTTTGCCCGTTGCCCTTAGCTAATGCATGGCCCTCTCTAAAGTTGTCGATCACCCTTCCTCGCAGCCATAGTGCGGAACTCCTGGAGTTTACATCATCCTAAGTGCTTAACGGCTGGTTTCAGCGTAAATAAATCCCCAAAACATTGAAATCCTGATCAATACATCCCGCTGGCATGATATCATTCGGGCTCTGAGGGCGGTCGTCGCCCGTCCATAGGGCGCGAACTCAAAAGCGATATTACTACGCCGCTAAATACTACCATTCCTCGGACTTGATGGTCAGAACCTTAATTCGTCTCGGTGTCGAAGAATTATTAATCCCATACAACGATCTAACTACACCCAGACGTAACCTCAATCTAAGGACATCTCTCCAAGAATTGAGTCATGTTTTGCATCTCGTGTGGACCATGATGAATCAACATCACGAACCTACTTTGTGGGGGCTCCATAAATCTAGACCGCCACCCCACGCAGTCCGAGCTCCAGGCCTTTGGAGTCCGAACCAAGACATGCGCCAGCAGCTCAGATCCCGGCGCCGAAAGGTTATTGCAAAATTCAGCTTCGCCGACCGAGGCATGATATCACTTCGGGCACCAACGCCATGATCTCCAACTACGATAACTCAAGCAAACAACATTCGGTGGGGCATATGCTTTTCCTGCAGATGAAGTTTGTCCAGGTTGTCGTTGGTCGATACAACACAAACAGAAGGCCAACGATTGTTCCTCGCTTGGCATTCATGTGTCCCCATCAGTACTACGACCTGTAGAATCGCGAAAACGAGAACGAAAGCATATTTGAATGGTATAACAATGGGGTAGAGACGGACTTCTTATTGCCCACGATCTCCGCGCCGGGTAATCGCAGTAGCGAGTGCTACGATTCGTCAGTTCGGAAACTTCAGAGAGCTGGGGTTTTAGTGGAAGCCAGTGCGGATCATGGTCGATAACGGGGATTAAACCCACCTCTTCCTTGCACGACTAGTGCCAATCCTTGCCGCCATTTTGACAGGCATCGTGAGAGGGATATATATCTCGTGGGGTTCCGGCTCGTTGGAACGATGTACGACGGGCCATCTGAAGTTTTCATCTGTCGATATTAGGCGCTAGACAGACTCCCATCATGGCGCTTCTCTCCTTGCCAGTAGTGCTATTCGCGCTTCTGGCGTTCGTGATCTACTACATTGTCTCAACTTTCCTCGCCCGTCGCCGCGTTCTTCTCTTTGCCAAGTCAAACGGCGCGACTTTTCCCAAGCACTTTTCCTCAAAGCTCCCTTTCGGCATCGACAATGTCTGGCGCGCCGTCAAGGTGGTGCGCAGCGGCGGCGACATCCTCGACGATGTCATTGCCCAAAAGTTCAAAAAGTGCGGTGACACCTTCAGCACTACAGGCCTCTTCGGCCCAGCCGAGGTAAATACTATCGACCCCGTCAACATTCAGGCCATCCTTGCGACGAAGTTCCGAGACTTTGAGCTCGGCCCGCGCAGAATCGCGCAATTCAAGCCGCTAGAGGGCAACAACATCTTCACCCACGATGGTCCCCTGTGGGAACATTCAAGATCGCTCTTCCGATCGCAGTTCTCGCGTGAGAACATCAACGACCTCGAAGGTACGGAACGTGCCGTGCAAGCTCTGTTCCGGGCCCTGCCATTCGTTGGCCAGAAGACGGACGACGGCGCCCTGTCCGTTGATATCATGCCCTTGATCTTCCGCTTCACCCTCGACACGGCAACCGGCTTCCTCTTTGGCGAAACGGTCGATTCACAAACGGCCGCTGCTCTAGGCAAGATGTCGACATCGACAAGTGCGGTGACGGCTATGGCGGCTGACCAAGCAGGAAGTGAAATGTCCTTCGCATCGGCCTTCCACGAGGCGCAAATGTACATCGCTCTGCGTGCCCGGCTGCAGGGGCTGTACTTCTTGGCACCAAGTAGCGTGGGCACTAAGTCCATTGACTACATCCGTCGATACGTCGACCACTACGTCCAGCTGGCTCTCAAGCGCGCGAAGCCGTCGACGGACAAGTTCATCTTGCTGGATACCCTCGTAGAGAAAACGCGGGACCGCGGGGAGCTGCGGGACCAGATCCTAGGGATACTTCTGGCGGGTCGGGATACCACGGCATCTTTACTCTCGTGGGTGCTGCTGATGCTTGCGCGGCACCCGGCTGTGTTTGAGAAGCTTCGGGGAGAGGTGGTGGCGGAGTTTGGGGAGTACTCTGAGAAACCTGAGGGTATCGACTTTGCGACGCTCAAGTCTTCACAATATCTTCAATTTGTGATGCGGGAGACGTTGAGAGTGTACAATGTCGCGCCACTTAACAGCCGATATGCGGTACGGGATACGGTTTTGCCAAGAGGTGGCGGAGCTGATGGGTTATCGCCCATCGTGATCAAGAAGGGCCAGACCGTCACCTTTGTGCCGTATCTTCTGCATCGACGAGCGGATATCTGGGCGGATGCGATGGAGTTCAAGCCGGAGCGATGGGAGGGTGTCCGACTAGATTGGAACTATATTCCATTTAGTGGTGGTCCGAGGATCTGCTTGGGACGTAAGTCATCCCATATCCGCTGACAATTTCTGCGTTCAGTAGTGTGAGGGGAATGCTAACTTGCCTTAGAACAATTCGCTCTCACAGAGGCTGCATATTTCTTGGTCAGACTCATCCAAAGGTTCAAGAGCATGGAGTGGATTGGACCGCCAGGCGAGCCGAGAAAGGACATCCACTTCACCATGGTTCCTAGAGATGGAGTCAGCGTCAAGCTACAGTATGCTGAATCATAGAACATGTCAAGTATTGCTCTCATGAAGAATGCGTATTGACAAACACAATGTCATCTTTGGTCCGCTATATTTGACGAATGTCTTGAGTGACGTGTGGGGGGTTTGAGAGCGACTAGCCCTGGAGCCGTCGAAGTGTTTTGCAGGACGGATATAATACCTCAAGTTTCCTCCTGGAAAAGTTGAGATTTTACTGATCCTGCTATATAAATTTCGCAGCACATGCTGATCTTGGTCTGCACCGACGTTCTATCTTTTCATGATCTAGTGGGCCTGGTAAAAAGTTACGTCTATCAGAAAACACTTGAAAAGAGCGAGATGGTCGCCGCTGCATCTTTATAATTTCACTCTTAGGCTCTGATTAACCAGGAGAGTTCTAGCAGTGCTGCCACTGCGGCTGCAGATCCTCAAGGTCATCAGCCATGAGGCTTGAACTTTAAGACATCAGGGCACCTTTTTGGATGCAGCCTGCGTCTAATAAGAAGCAGTTTCCCACGATCGATGACGCTGAATTTCTCAAAGTCCACCACCCAACCCATCAAAGCAGAATCAGGAAGTTCGAAGACAGGAGCACACCAGCGCCGCACTCGCAGTAACCCCAAGACCTCCCAAACTCAAGCATAACATCGAGCAACCGAGACTATATCACTCAAGATGGATCCCGAAGCCTCGGTCTTTCTGATCTGGTTCGGCATTACCACCGCAGTGACTCTGATCCTGATGGCGCTGTGGTATGTGCTCTCTATCACGCGATTGTAAGTGGACCGTGCCAAAGCCTCTACAGAAAGCCCAGTGCTCATCGTTTCCCAGCTCGAGAAGATGCGCTTGCGAATCTGCGAATGAACCCTCATGCACAAGATGTGGCCTCCCTGTGGTGGACGTCGCGCCGACAACGAGCCAAGATGGGGATGGAACTCCACAGACCCCGAGTTCCAGTGCCCCGAGCAAGAAGATGGACGTCTGATACGATCGATGACGAGACGCTTCCTCCAAGAAATTCAATCCGAGAAAGACTAGAAGAAAAAGTTGGCCGAGGAGCAGAGGCTGCCGATTTGTGTTTCTAGAGATCACATGTATCGTAGCCCACCAAAATAGGGTCACTGTGGTATGTCAGATGCCGAAATGTACCGCAAAATGATGCAGGAATACTCTGTGGGGGCTTCTATCGAGTCTCCAATCATGGAAATAGGATTGAAGAGCTTAGGATCCAGCGTTATGTCAGATTACGAATAGCTCGAATCGAATTAGTCAAAAAGGAAGGCAAAGTTGAAAGTTGTGGTATCTTCGTGAGTAAACAGTACAGTGGATGCTCTTCGTAGGCGTCATCTGCTTCATACATTGATCGAGCCCGGCAGCGTGTCCTTTCTGCCGCTCATCTCCATAGGCATGCTATCCTGCCGCGATGGGAGGTGATCGAACGCTTCTGACGCGGTCGATTCTTTTCTCTCCCCGGTCGTGCTGAAGCCAATCGCAGGGTTCCCGATGACCAAGCAGAATACTGCAACTACCATGACACTAGGATTGGAGGCAAATTAGCCAGACCATCGAGCAGTATCCCGGATGTAGAAAGACTCACGAAGATTCGAGTCCAATGAACAAGGGTTGATCGCGGAACATTGGGCTGAAGTATCCCTCCTTCAGTTCCTCGATACGGTAAGAGCATCGTACCAAGATCAGAATAGTAGAGATGAAGAGAAATGCCAAGAAGATCTTCATGTTTTTCGTCATGCGTTGTCGAGCGTTTGTCCTCATGCAGATAATGAGGTAGTCCGCGAAGAGAGCACAAAAGGCGACTAGGCAGACAACCTGGAAGATCAGCCCGGCTAACGAGACATTGACGCCCCTTTGCACGGCTGCCTTATCGCTCGCAATGCTGGATAGGGCACCGCCAGTTGCTTGTAGAATAAGCGATACGATGTCGCACGGGATAAAGACAAAGTAGCATAATTTCGGGTTGAATCTAGAGATCGATCGATCGACGTGGATGATTCTGCGCTCCCAAAATTAGTCAGAGTTGTCGCGACTGGATGATTGATAGTGGTTGCAGGATGGACTTACACTTTGGATAGCATGACATAGATGGCAGCACAGAAGAAGACTGGACCGACAGTAATGCAGACTGCGACAAGAGGAGATTAGGTCCAGTCAAACCATCGGGTTCTCGGTGGGACTTACTAATCTGCAGAAGAAACCCGCCAAAAGAAAATGGGTTGTCGTTGAGGATTAGTCTTCCGACGTAGCCAACGATCTCGAGTAGACATCCACCAATCATGCTAGCCATGAACCCCCAGTTCTTTGATCGAAGCCCCTGGATAGTATGTATGATCATAGCCAGGGCAAAGAGCCCGATGAACGTTCCGTTGACTGGCACCGATGGGCGATAACGTAGAAGACTAGCCTCCAGCGGGCACACCTCGAGAGTACAGTTGGCCTTCGGGCCGAACGACTTGTAGCCGTTCGGAAGATGAGTCGCAGACATGATGCCGATGTGAGAGTTTGAGGGCAAAGGCGCTAGGGATCGAGGGCGGATGCCAGATGAGACAGATTGGATGCTTGGAGAAGACGTTGAGATCTTGGGGCGCGGTAGGTTGTACTTATGCATTGGAGGCATTCCGTGAGCGGTCGAATGAGGAGTTGCCGCTTGCGTCTGTGATCATCCAGCCAAGCGCAGGACGGCCGTAAAAGAAGAAAATGAGACACGTGGAACCGTCCAAAACATACGCCCTTGGTATTGGATCTGATCTAGGACGATAGGATTAACCCAGAAAGTGGAAGTGCTCTAGAGAGGACTTAACAGCCCTTGAAGACCTTGCAGCCCTTTGATTCCTTAGCATTTCGCTTCGCATTATACAAAATGGGTCAAGACACAATGTCTTCTATCGTGGTATACGGTTGACATCTCGAATGTGGGGTGCGCGGGATCGCCCTATCCTGGCCCGGCCGTAAACTATGCCGCGTTCAGCCATGAAGGATCTTAACGCGGGCAAGGGAGGTGGTAGGGAGGCGCCATGCCATGTGTCTCTGCTGATACCAGTCAGACGTTCCGGGCTAAACGGCCAGGCCGATCGACGTCCCGGGGGTCTGGGACCTATACTAGTCCAACTCGCATCTAGCTAGACTCGCACTTGCACTTCGCAAAGCGACGAATCAGCAATGGCCCTTTTGCTGTAAAGTACTCAGAGTCAACCGCAGTTCCCATAAGCGAGGGCACCACGATAGGCCTTGAGGCTTCAACACAAAGAGGCTCTTCCGCCCATGGCACCTGCACCCGTGCCAAGAACTCCGAGAAGTCGGGTCGCAAGCTCCAGAATGCGTTACGTTGTGAGCCATGCGTTGCGGGAGTTGACTCAACAGGAAACTGTGCGGCAATGATGTTGGATCTAGAACCCGGGCTCATTGTTAAGAAAGAAGAGACTCTCCGCGTGGCACACGGTTCTAACCACGTTGGACATTCTACTTACACAATCAAGTACATGGAACTGGAGAGATCGGTTGAGGCGGTTTCCGGGTCAAGTTGTCATCGCTTACTAGACCCGAGACAGCCAAGACACCAACGTCTCGGACAAGTATGTTCGACGCTCTTTGTCTGTTACCCTCATTTTGCTGGATTTCGAGAGAAACATCAGAAACATTAAGCAGGGATGTATCTCAACAAAATGTGAGGACCAGCCAAGTCAACAACAACGATGTTCCTGACGGTTGACCAGTTAATCAGACGGCGCATTCGCACAATGGAGATTTTTAGTTCCCCACATCATCATTCCTAGTATTCTTCAACACCCTAGAAACACCCAATCTCTGCGCCCTGGTATCCGAAAGGCTCTGATGTGGCGGCTTACCCTTGAGCGGAAAGAGCCTAGATATACAGCCACAGCTGTCTCCAGAAAGTCACCTCTTCCCCTTTCCTCATTACGTTACCTTGACAAGCTGTCATGATTCTAGGCCTTGCTAGACTACATTTGAACTCAGTAAACACATTGTACCCACGTGGAAAGAGGATATGCTTACTCCTCAGCAAGGGCCGGGCCGCCGGAAATGGTAGGTTCGGCGAGCTGCCAGGCTCTCGAACTTGTCTAAGCATTTTCCCCAATAGATCCCATCAACCAAACACTTATGCTAGAAAATCTATGCTAATAAATATTGGCAAAGTATCCTCTCTATTGCTTCTGCGATAATTGACACGGAGACTTGATGAGAACTAAATATTTTTCCATGTAAGACAAAATCAATTTGCATCTGTTTCACGGGTGCACACTCGATCAGCGCTCACGAAGAAACAAACGGATCCATCGCAACGGACACAGAAGGGTCTTGCTTCAATAGATGACCTCGTGACAGATTAGCAATGTTACATTCTCTCTAGGGGAGCATCTGAGCTTGATGCGTCCTCGATGTAAGACTCCAGCGGATTTAAACATGATGGTCCCACTCACGTGTTTGAGCACGTGACCTCTCGAAAATCATCAAAGGAATCATTCTTGACGCGATGACCGCCACAAATGTCACGGGAACACCGCTATTTTCGCGATCCCGATAAGCACCGATCAGAATCCGTCGAATCCATGCTAAGAGTCTTACTTCCGAATTGAGGAGGGATGAATGCCTTTGGAGGGCGATCGCGGTCCTCAGCAGGATGGTTCTTCGCCGGCCTCGACTCGTCATTCCCCAATCTTGGGATCGATGAAGGCAACCTATCAGATCTCCGTTTTTGTGGTACAGATCTCAAAGCGGGTTGCAAGGTGTTCCAAGTGCGGAAGTCGGATCCTTCGCGCAGTACAGAGGTCCTCTTGGCCCCTGATGTTCTCAACTTCGCTGAGCTTGAGGGTGATCTGAAAGATCAAGTACTTGTTTTCAAGTTCAAGGGCAAATTTCACGCCGTCGACCATGTGAGTCTTTCCGCCCCATGAAGACGTGCCTTTGTGATCCGAGTATGACCTAACTTTCATATCAGAAATGCCCACATTCTTCGTATCCGCTTTCACATGGGACACCGTTCGACATTGAAGATTTCGGGATCGTCTTGAGCGCAGGTTTGACATGTCCCAAGCATGGCTGGTCGTTTGATCTGCATTCTGGAATGGCAGACCGCGCGCGATATAAGCTGGGTATCTGGGAGGTTCAGTTGCGTGACACCGCATCAATAGGTGCAATACCGATAGGAGAGGATGTTCCAGGTATAGAAAGTATAGATAAAGAGGTGTGGGTAAGGAGAAAGCAGAGGATAGGGTAATGTTTGGAAGCGCACTAAAGACAACTTATCTTGGCGCATTACTGATTTACGTTCGAGGTCTTCGTTAACAAGGCTCGAATCTGGTTGCATGGCCAACGTCCACATCAATGAAATGCATGTGACTGATCAAAGCAGATGTCTCCTGCAGAAATTAACGTGCTAAAGCGTCGAATGAGACGCCAGAAGTGAAGCTTTGCACTGCGGACAACCAAGACGCAGATGCGGGGAAGTAGACTTGTGGTGAAGACTGAAGTTTAACCGGAAATCATCATCCTCGCATTTCTAATCTCAACACTACATCAACGAGGGCGAGGCACCAACCTTCTAGCAGACCTTCGCTCGGTCTATGGTTTCCCTGAATACCTTGATACAAACCCTGTTGCGTCGCTGAAATCGAGCTTGACCAGCGATCATCAGTCTTATTTCTCCGTGGGTGACGATGTCATCGAGCGTCAGAGAAACCAAGCCATCAGTGGGTGACCCGCAGAAGTCAGTGAATGAGCTCTTCAGACTTGACGGACGGACTGTATTAAGTGCGGAAACCCATGTTTCCTCAAATACCTGAATTTTCTAACACCGGTAGTCACTGGCGGCGGAGGTTCTATGGGCCTAGAAGTTGCTCGCTCTGTACTGGAGAGTGGCGGCGATGTTATATGCATTGACCGACAAGAGAACCCTCTAGAAGAGCCCTGGAGTAAGGTTACACAGATTCTTAACCGTTGCGGCTCCTGGACCAAGCTGATTGTTAATCCCGTACAGATCGTGTGCTGAACGTGTCCAAGAGTCATGGAACACAAGCATGGTACTATAGGTGCGATACCACGAACGCAGAAAACGTCAAATTTGTCTTCGCGGAGTCCATGAAGAAGTCACGGTTCCCTTTAAGAGGCTTGGTCGCCTGTGCAGGAATTTCAGGTGACGCGCCATCCATCGACTTCCCGATCGACACGGCGAGAAGTATCATAGACGTCAACGTTATTGGAACACTCGTCTGCGCACAAGCTGCAGCCCAGGAGATTCAGAGGCAAGGATCGGCTGGAAGTATTGTCCTCATTGCGAGTATGAGTGCTCACGGGAGCAACAAGGTAAGTCAATGGAATAGCAAAGGCGTACGCAGACTTTAACCGAATTCCAAGGGTGTTGATACCGTGGCATACAATTCCTCAAAATCGGCAGTTGTTCAGATGGCTCGTTCTCTTGCTGCTGAATGGGGCAGCCGCGCAGATATACCACTCATTCGGGTGAACTCGATCTCGCCTGGGTACATCCGTACACGTATGACGGAAGAACCACTCAGCAATCCTGATATGGAGAGAGAATGGACCAACGGCAATATGTTGATGAGATTGAGTGAGGCGCATGAGTACAGAGGTCCCATCACCTTTCTGCTTAGCGATGCCAGCAGTTTCATGACCGGTTCTGATGTCCGTGTAGATGGGGGCCACACAGCGTGGTAGTTGAAGCGCTGCGAAACGAGCTTTAGGTGACAATTTCAGTTACTGCGATCGAACCAAAGGACTTCATCAGTCAAATCCCACAAGGGCAGAAAGCGAAGCAACCAATCGGGTAGCTACTTGGACTACGAGCGCTTGCATGGCGCTTGCATGGCGAATCAGGCGGACAGAGATGGCCAGATGGCCAACAACAAGGGGCCGCATTCAGTTTGATCTGTCTTAACAGCAATGATTGGCTCGTTGGGGCTGTGAAATGTATGAATTGCATGCGTATGCAGATTTTGAGCCTGCGCCATTTGTGATGTGACTTGGATTCCGGAGCCTATTACCGACTGCCTTCGACGTTGGTTTCCCCTCATTCCACATCACCATTTTTCAACGACTTTCCTAGCCATTCCCTTCTCTTTTCTACCATCACTGATCGCTTCGAAGCTGTCAATATGGATCCGTCAGGGATCATCGGCATCATCAGCGTGGTGGCTCAGATCGTCACCACGTGCACGAAACTTGGCCTGAGCTGGCGTGATGCTCCCGAAGACGCCAAAAGATTCAAGAATGAGATGGATGGGCTGTACAAAACACTGTCAGAAACTTCAAGCCTTCTGATCCAGAATCCCGACTTTATTGTAGCCTTTGAGGGACAGCACTCTGCGGTGCTGTCTAACCTGACGACACTCTCCAGTCCCGACGATGAAAGCCTCCTCTCTGCTTGTCAAGACGAACTCGTTCGTATTCTTGAGGGGCTGCAGAAGCAGCTTGAGGGTAGCCGCTTCGGCTGGCAACGGTTCAAAGCGATGTTCTCTGGCGAAATGACGCAGTCAGCAATTGAAAACCTTCAGCGCCGGTGCCAAGTGATCAACAGCATGATCTCGATCGACAATACGACGCTTGCGGTGAAAACCAACCTCGAAGTCCGGTCTTTGAAAAAGGATCTTGCCGGAAGACATTTAGAAGAAAGGAAGATACAGATTCTGGATAGAATAACGCCAGTCGACTTCACAACGCAGCAGATTGACAACCTCGATAGGAGGCAAGAGGGAACTGGAAAATGGCTTCTTGAATCCCCAGAGTTCGAAGCCTGGGTCCTTGGAGATCGAAGAACACTATTCTGTCCCGGAATGCCTGGTGCTGGGAAGACTATGCTTTCGTCCATCGTCATCGAGCATCTCAAACGCCGGTTTGAGGGAAATTCGACGGTTGGAGTTAGCTTCATGTTTTGCAATTTCCGACGGCACGATGAGCAAACACCCCGTAACTTGCTAGCCAGCATATTGAAGCAACTCTATTGCACGACGCCAGAAGAGTGCGAAGAGGTAGAGAACACCTACAGGCACGGGATGTCTTCGGCGTCGAAACAAGACATAATGCGTTGTCTTCAAGCCGTGGTACCCCGATTCAGCAGAGTATACGTTGTCATCGACGCCTTGGATGAACTCGACGAAAATCGAAATATGTTTCTCGAAGCTATATGGAGTTTGCAGGAAACATCATATGTCAACATTTTTGCGACTTCTAGGCACATACCAGAAATCGAGCGCTACTTCGATGGTTCACCATGCATCGAAATACGGGCTTCCGATGGAGATGTGATGAAGTTCCTAGATGGCCAGATGTCGAAGCTTCCCTTAGCTGTGAGAAAGAACGAAGGCCTCCAAGACCAAATCAAGGATGCTATCATTCAAGCCGTTCAAGGAATGTATGCGATTTGGGTCACCTGCCAGTGGAGTTGAACTTGACTAATTCCAATCCATAAGGTTTCTGTTAGCACAACTTCATCTAGATTCGCTACAAGGAAAACGCTCAGCCAAAGCCGTCAAAGAGGCACTTCGCAAATTTTCTAGCGGTTCCGAGGCGTACGACGTTGCGTATGAGAATGCCATGGAGCGCATCGAACGACAGCTCGAAGACCAAAGGTCTCTCGCAAAGGACACGCTGTCCTGGATATGCTGCGCTCGAAGACCACTCGATACCGTGGAGCTACAACACGCTCTCGCCGTGGAGGAAGGGACGACTAAACTAGATGAGGACAACCTCCCTGAGCTAGAAGATATCGTTTCAGTCTGTGCTGGTCTAGTTACGATTGATGAAGAGAGCAAGATTATCCGTTTGGTTCACTACACGACCCAGGAATTCTTCGAGAGGACGAAGGAGCGTTGGATTCCTGAAGCGCAAACGCTCCTTGCGAAATCTTGCGTTGCGTATCTTTCTTATGACAAATTCAGGGTCACCTATGAGGAGCACTTCGAGCGGATGTGGATAAATCTAGAAAAGGAAGAGCAAACTCAGCTATCACAGTCTCGAAAGGATCGACATCGGCTTAACATCACTGGAGATTCATTGTACCGCTACGCCGCTTACAACTGGGGTTATCACGCGAGATACATTAATCACCCAGACCAGGGAACACTCCTCTTCCTTACCGACAGAGCATACAATGAAGTGCACTGTTCATCGGTCAGCTCTCTCCTGTTCAATCACAAGCATGAATCCAAGTTAGATTCAAGGCCGGATCCTCAACTTGTTCATGGGCTACATCTCGCAGCATATTTCGGTCTTGCTAGAATCTTTGAGCTCTTAGGCGGGACCGATAAAGTCAGCGAACTCCCCTCATACGTGGAGATTTTACGTGCTAATTTAATTGACAGGATAATCTGAACCTCGAGGACAGCCGCGGTTACACGCCATATATATATGCCATCTGGGGGGGCGACGAGAGGTTTCTGGATTATCTCTTCGCACAAAGTGGGCTTGAACTCAACATGAAATTCAAAGATGGATATTTTGATCTTTTCAGCATCGCTTTGATATGCGAAAATGAAACCGCTGTCCGTCATTTGATAGGGATGTATCAGAGCCATCACGAAACCAATTGGCTGGTGGTTTTAATTCTTGCCATAAAATGGGGCAACGTTTATATTTTCAAGCTCGTAACAGAAGCAGGCAAGGTTGATATCGATGTTTTGGAGCGGCATTGGGCCAAGCGCATAGCAGGAATAAACGGGTCCAAGTTCACTGTTATGGAGAGGCCATATTCACTTCTACAACAAGCAGCAGAAGAGGGGCGGATTGAGATCGTCAAATATCTTGTCGAGACACAAAAGGTTGACATTGAGACACAGAATTCGCTCGGGGGTACCCCCTTTTCCATGGCCGTCTGTCGTGGGAAATTGGAAGTAGCACAATATCTGTATGATACGGGATTGGTCGATCCAAACACAGCGATTGACAAGGGGGGAACGTCACTGCACTATGTTGCAGGTCACATCTTGGTGAAACCGCAGTCAGTACAATGGTTGCTTGACGGGGGAAAAGTTGACGCCAGTCTTTTCATAACATCGAAGTCCGGGGAAACGCCGTTAATTCTTGCCTTGAGGAAGTGGGGGACGGGAGACCCAATACCCAAAATGATTGCGGAGAGAATGAAATTTACATCAGGAATAGATTTCCTGGAGGACCTGTAGGCGACGAGGAGTGCAGGGGTCATAGAATATGCCACGGATAGTTGATAGAATCACGTAGCACCATCTTTGTAGAACGCATCACAATTACCTACCTGCTGGCCTATCTTGAATCCGCTCCTGACACAATGTTGAGAGTTGTCACGGTGGAAAGGAGAGGCAACCTCGAAGATGAGGCTTATATCCATGTCGACCTGCTTGTGAGCACACTCCGATGGCAGCGGCATCGCCAACTCCCTACTCTGTCCCTACGCAACTTCTCGTGTGGATTCGAAGATTGGGAACTTTTGACGAGACTATTTTGGGCTATAGCAGGGGTCTGTCACGATGTTCGTTTCAGGAGGCGTGCGTCTGGACCTGCATTGCGGATCCTCCGGGCGTCTAAAGGTAAACAAATTTAGTATGGCACTTAGAGATGGGTGCCAATGAAATGAAGACTGTCAGGACTCAGATCATGACACTATGGGCTGTGGCGGACTCCTCGCATCGGCCGTCGAAAAGAACACATCGATGGGATTATGTGAGTGATTCAATCATCATGGTTCGTGATATTATTGCATATCTATATAGTACATCGTGGACGACAATCTTCTGCCTGGGTATTCAACAAGAAAGGAAAAATAATAGTGATTGGTGAGACAAATGAGACTAGTGACAGCAGTCATCCCATCTATGCCCGAGTACAGCGTGTGTGGTTCGCAAGGTCTGGTTCGGAGGGTCCATCATCCGATCCTTGGTACGATATATCATGGGTTGATCCCAGCTCGAAAAAAGATGTCGCCGTATGCTCTCAGTAGTGACCGTATTGGCGTGCCACGATTTTACTTCAGTCCGGGCACTTTTCAACCGCGGTACCCCATCTCGGGTGAGAACCGCCCGTCAGGTCCCCTCTCCGCTCGGGGGAGCTGACCCGGCTGCGGCCGGTAAAAGTTGTCCGGGTTATATGGTCGATAGCCGTTGTTGTTAGTGGTAGGCTGGTATCCGATATTGATAGACTCCCGGTACGGACCCTGTCCAACTTCCTGGTACATGTCGTATGTCGAAGCAGGATACGGCACCCTCGCTGTCGAAACCGCTGTCGGAGGCCGTCGTTGCGCTGTGCTGATCCTCAGTGGCTCGGGTACGACCGGCGGCTCATTGATGGACTTTTCGTAGTAAAAGCTCTCCGCTTGCATGTTCCTAGTGTTTGCAATAGGATCATTGTTGCTGGGCATGTTAGGAAGAGGCGGAACCGCAGCAATCGCGTTCGTCGTTGAAAAATTCGGTAGAGGCCTGGCGGAGGATGCGTCCACCCTAGATGCTCTGTCGGTCTTGAATTGCTCCATCATCTGCTCTTCCATCTCCTTGGTGGTACGGTTCGCGATCTTGGTCTGTCTGAAGGTTGTGACCATGGCGCGCTCCATCTCGCGGGTGCTGCGCTTCGGTTGTCTGAGGATGGCGGACTCTCTTGGGAGTATACCGTTACCGCCCGGTGGTGTGTTTTGCGTCATGTTTGTTGCTACGGCGGCGACCTTCTTCTTCCTCTTGTAACGTTTTACGCCGAAGATTACTGCGCCAATGAGCAACCCGATGATGGCTGCGATCCCTGATTAGAATTTTGGGCTAGAAGGCGGGGGTTTACAATGACTTACCGACAACGGCGAAGGAGACTCCGATCGCGAATCCACGGTCTGTGCCATCAGCAGGCGCAGCTGACGCCGATGGCGCGTTGGAAGCCTCGACTTGTGAGCTTGGTGGGAGAAGTTCCGGCTGTGGTGTTCCGGACGCCGCATTTTCAACCGGGGGCGGCGGCAGATTCGTTGAAGGAGTGGTTTCGGCGGCGGGAGGAGGAGGCGGTGATGGTGTTGCAGGCGGCTGACTGGCAAGCGGAGGATTCTGCGGTTGGCGAGCAGGTGGGCTCGACGGTGTCGCGACCGGCGCCGGTTGTTGCGCTGGAGCCTCTTGAGGCGGTGGGTTAGAGGGTGGCGGCGCTCCGGGAACAAGAGTAATAAAGCCTCTTGCGGGCGGTAAGCTTGCCGGCAATGCCGGGTTCAAGACTGCCGACGGGATCGGGGACCCTTGCGCCGCCGGGGGTGGGAGTGACGGTGCGGCCGGGGGTGGCTGCACACTCGGGGGAGGGGCTGGCGTTGCTCCGGGTGGTGGTGTTACTGCTGGCGGAGGCTGCTCTTGTTCTGAATCGCTGCTCGAGTCGGATTGCTGGCCTGACGGTGCGCCTGGTTGTGGTGCGTCTGAATCGCTGGCTGATGATGCTGCGCCGGCTTGGCCGCCGGCTTCTGAATCGCTCTCGGCTTCCTTTGCAGCGCCGCCTGCAGGCTTCTCCTCCTCTTTTTCTTCTTCCTCCTCCTCCTCTTGTTCCTTTCTCTGGTTGGCGGGTTGATTAGGCTTGGCCCCCTCTTCGTCTTCCTCCTCCTCTTCTCCTTGCTTGCCGCCGGCTTCTTGCTCCCCGTCTGCTTCCTCGGCTTCTTCTTCCTTAGCGGGTGGTGGTGCTGGACTTTGTCTACGGGCCAGATTGTGACGAGGTCTGCCAGGGAATTTAGGTGCAGTTCTTCGCCTCCGCTGCCTGTTTATACCGGTTAGCGACCCTCACTGAAAGACTGATGAGAATGCTTGGTTGATCCCGTACCTCAGAGTAGACCAAGTCGCAGTTGCGTCCATCGCTACGAGCCTTCGCGTCTTCTGCACCTGTCCTACAAACCAGTAACGAAGTAAAATCGACCAGCGAGTGAGTGAAGGAAAAAGCAGCGCAGCTGCAAATCTAGAAGAGAACAACAAGAAAGGAAAAATGACGCAAGCGCCGCATGAGAAATAGAGTCACGAATCCCCGAGATGTTGGACAGAAGCAGAGGCAGAAACAACAAGAACCAAAGCAGACGTCACGACGGGGTGGGCGGCATTCGCTTCATGTTATCAATTCTCGCCGTGTCGATCATCTCGCTCAACCCCACGGACGAGTTCGGAGACATCCATGCAAAAATGTCTCCCACATCAAACAACTTCCAAGAAGAACGGGCAAGGGGGGTTCGAGATGTGCCTCTCTTACAAGCTGCGGATTGCTCAGGGACTCAGGGACAGTGGGCACCGGTCTTTGGTGCGACAAGCGCAGGCGAGGGAAAGCTCTGGGGGACGCTCACACGAATAGACCCCGGACTCCAGAGGCGGCTTAACATGACTCTGGCGCAGCCGCTAGAACCATCAGCCATGTTTGCCCAGTTCTAGCTCCTCCTCACCAGCCTCAGTGCACCGCACAGTTACACCCAAGGGGTCAAGGAGGCCCGGACAACGGGGAGCTCCTCAGCTGGCAATGGGACGCTGGAGCCTCTGAGAGGGCAACCCGTGAACCACACCGATTCCATGTTCGGAGGGTTTCAGACGGACCCCGGCCGCTGTCACTCTGATGAGCCCGCCGTGCCGCACCAAAACCCTCGGTCGTGTTTGACGCGTTTCTTGGCGGCTTGGCCCGGAGGCGCCCTCTTTCTGGTGTCTGAAACCACCGAAAATGCGACTGCAAGCAAGTCATGGATAGGCACGAAGAGTTGTTGGCAGAGTGAGATGCTAAAGTGTGCCAGTTTTTCACGTTGGTACGCAGGAAACCCCACCCCGGCGCTTCGAGGACGGAGAGAATTAGAAACATGGTCGGGGGGCCTTGTCCGAGCCTGGAAACATTTTCCGTCCCTTCTTGATTGCAGCGCCGATTGCTGTTTTGTCTTCTCAGCTCCCCTCTATTCCTCGGTGCAACTTCGTATTCCTTCGCCGTAGGACCGATACTGCGACAAGAGTATTTCGAGGCTGGATGCAACTCGCTGCTCTTCATCGCATAAGTCTAGCACTGAAGTGTGCATGAACCCGTCCCAGCCCAACAACGCAACTTTTGGCGAGCCCAGAGCCCATTTGCTTCAATGCATAGCGGCTCGGCCACGGAACAGTCGCGATCGACGCAAGGACAAAATCAGGCTTAACCTACCTGTAAACAAACAAGTCAACTTTTACCGACATAATCGTTGGGTTGCGGACAGACAGCACTTTGAAGAGAAAGCCTGGCCTCGGGACATGGGCCAACTCTCCGTCGAAGGGGTGTCGCGTGGTAGTATCCGGGGTAAGCTCTGGCTCAACCTCATCCACAACGGGGTCGACGATGAAACTGGGAATGCATGGGCACCTGGCAAACATTTTTGTCGGCTCCTCACCTGACAATGACGTTGCCCTCTACAATTCTGAACGCCAATAGCATTGGCAGGCGACGTGCTTTCTATTAATACCATTGACAATTCCTTCATCCTTTTGGCGCTTAAACGCCGAGCGCTTGATCTGCGTTCAACTCGAGTCGAGGTTCGGTTCGACTAGCTGTTCGGCTCCAATGTCCTTTCGGCTATATAACCCTCCGGTCCGTCAGAATCATGCTTCATGTGACTTGCTCTCTAGATCCGCGAAAAATGGACTCTTGGCTGTATGAGTACGCGAGGCACCTTTCTTCTTTCCAACATCGACTGTGATCTTGATGAGTTTTGTGCCTCGATCAATTGACGATGGCCGGAGACGACGACACGCACGCTTACACAGTAGCGGCATATTGTATCGTCCATGCTCCTGAGTTTCTCACAAATTCGGGTTTCTGGGCCATTCCCATTCCTCGGGACTTGGCTCCGTGTTTAGTTGAACGAGATCGAGGAGCATTGTCGTTTCGAGGGCCAAGGTCATCACAGTGTCTCGTCCCGGTTACACATGGTCCCAGCAGATGATCAGCCAGTCGCATTTCTTCTGGGAATGTTCGCTTTTGAACCTGAGCCGTCCGAAGATAATGCACAAGCTAGCAAGATGAGAGGCTACGGATGTCGTGTTTTGTGGAAAGAAGTCCTCCCTAAGTCTATTAAGTACGTA